GAAAGGAATGTTATCTGGATAACGCTCCGTGCTTTTATGGGGAGGGTAATGTGCAGAAATACTGAGGCAATTCCCTGCTGTAATTTGTCTTAATCATGATAAATTCACAATTTCACTGAATTCTTCGCTGAATCATTACGGATTAAACCTTGAGAGCAAAAGGGTTGTGTTGTGCGTGTGTGTGTGTGTGTGTGTGTGCGTGTGATTGCTTTCACTGTTGGACCTTGAGCGGCTGTGAAGTGTTGTTGCGAGCCTCATAACTCAACTTGAGGAATTTATACGCCGTCTGACTCACCGTTGAGATATGCAGCCCGCCTCCCTGTGTGTTTGCACGCTGTCGCATGCTTTGTCACTTTGCATTAGGAACACTCTGGCTGTTTACCTTGGTATGTGAAACCTGGGGGGGGGGGGGGGTTTAGAGGGTGAGTTTTAGAGGCTGATACCGCACCTGTATGGATGTCCTGCAAATACATTTCTGACCCTTTTGATGCCAAAATATCACAAGAATTCAGTGTTTTCCTCTCAGAGTTAGCTGCAGATAAGCTTCTTAAAAAACATGCAGACTATCATGTGACATTCTCCACTGAAACCCGTACTTATTAATTGGTAGGTTTAGCAGTTATGTAAGGTGGAGTTACACACTCTGGTCGGGACATAATAGGAGGAAAAATTCCACATAACATCAGTTTCAAATCAGTGACTGCCTCATTATTATCGTATATAAATGTCTTTCTCTTATTTTGTATTGCACATTCTTACTTTAACTTCTTAGATTGATATACATATTTGTCCATTTTTTTCTTATTTGTGTTTTATTTATTTCATTTGAAATTGGAGCAGCTGTCACAAGCCCCCATTTCCCCCTGGGATTAATGAAGTTTTCTGATTCTGATTCAAGTGGCTACTTTTAAGCAACAAATAAAATCTTATCCTGGCTTTAGTCAGGCTTGCATAAGAGAGTATGGTTTTGAGTGCATGTGCATGCTTTTGTTCACTTGACTAACCTGAAATAATAAATCCTAAAACTATGCGCAACATTGCAGTGCTTGGTCTCGGCGCAGCATGCTCTCGGCCTTTAAGGATGATAGCAAGTAGCAACTCTGCAAATCATCCAAGCGACAGCAAGCTGCTTCATCTGAGCAATCTGATCAAATCTGATGTCAAAGATACCAGTCTCAAATGTGTCAGCAATGGCTTTGAAAGCAAGTTGACTAACCCATCCAAAATATTTCAATATTCAGATTTTTGAGGGGGTTAGAACTGATGAAACTCTGTATATTGCTTGCGGTTTGAGACACAATAGGAGCCTCAACAAAGTGTCAAATCAGTCAAATGAATTTGAACACAAAACACAAGTTAGCCTCAGTTCTAAGTTCTACCCCCTTACATCAGTGCATGTTCTCCTATCAAGGTCAAAGGAGCGATGAGTCATGTCATTCGGGAAATAATGACACTGCAAATAGAGAGTGTGGGCGTAGACTTTCAGAATATTAAGCTTTGAAGATTGAGCACTAAACGGGGTACATGTAGCTACAAATAATGAGGTTTCAATGTAACACTATTGTGGGTGCTGCTGTGGCTTATGACTTCACTTGTATACAGTATACATGCATTACTTTTACCAGTCCATGTTTTATTTCTGTGTAGATCTGGTTTATGAGAACATATTTTCCATTTAGATTGTATTATTTATAATACAAGGACTAGATGTAGAATTCTGCGGTTGGTAAAATGTGTTTGGCTTAGGTATCTGGACGACTCTTGTGTAACCAGTGTGGATGCATTTAGTGGATGAGCACATCATAGCGGCTATGTGTTGACTTCTTCTCATTTGTTGGTCTTGTAAGTGTTGTACCATTGGACAACACAACTCATCGTTGAGATAAATCTACAAAGACACATGGCTCTCTACTATCTCAGGCCCAGGATAGTAAAGATAATGAAATGTTGTCCGTGAGCAAAAGAGTAATTTGATCATTGACAGCATAACAAAAAACATATTATACCCTCATCACATATTATATCTTCTGGTGGTTTTGTGCTAGTTTTAAATGACGTAGCTATTTTGGCATGTATTCTTTGTATTCCAGTATGTTCTAGTGCCACTTTAAGAGTAACTAATTTGAATGATTATTTGGATAATATCGTGAATAACAATTATTTTGGCCATGATAATTGTGACTTTTCATATCCTCCCATGCCGTTGAACTCAGGAAAAAACAGCAGTTGCAAAAATGTTTCGCACTTCATAAACCAAACCATTAAAGGTAGGGTAGGTAATTTTTGAGAAACCGGCTCGAGATCGCTAGAATTTGAAAATACACAGCCGGAAAAAATCTGCCATTTCCTTACAGAGCCCCTCCTCCAACACACACGAACGCGCACATGACCAATGAGGGCACGAGATAAGTTTGTGCACAGATGGAAGGCTGACAGGCAGGTAGGCCATCCAGTTATTTTAGCCGGCCCGGCTAAAATGATTGGTCGTGCTTTTTACAGTATTACGGCTTCCACAGATGACATTTTTTTATGGATTTTTTTGTCAAAGCACTTAAGATATTCATTGCTATCGGGATGTTAAGAGCATTCCATGGAATATAACAAAAAGTGTATCTCGAGCCGGTTTCTCAAACTTACCTACCCCACCTTTAAACTAAACCATTAAAATGTATGGAAAGACAATAAGTAAGAAAATAAGAAAAACACATTTGACAGAACAAACTGTATTTCTACATCATTGTTGTGGTAATATCAAGGTATGTTTTTATACATTTTTTAGATGGATTAAAGATTCAAGGCTTTATTGTCATGTGCACAACAGTGTAGATATGGCAATGAAACACTTGGGTCACAGGCCTACTTCAGATAGAAGTGTTTGTCCATATTTCTCCCACACTTTAACCACTGAAGCAGTGAAGCATGTTAAAGGACTACTAGTTTCTGTTGAGTGACTGACAGGGAAATGGAGGCTGGTCCTCCTCTCCTCAGAGAGCAGTGACAGAGTGCTGAGTTTAGGTCAGCGACTCACCTCGGCTCGCCATTAGATGACAGGATTCAGCGGGTGAGAGGAGAGAGGAATTAAATAATGGGATGTGGAGAGCCAGCCAGCCAACCAGACGGCTTTTTTTTGGGGGGGGGATCAGCGGTTGGCAGAAGCCTCCCTGTCTTCCTGAGCTAAATTTAGAGCGGAGCTGAGGGGGTCTTCTCCGGGCCCCTTCCATTATTCATCAGCTGAAAAAGGACCCAGTTCAGTTTCTGCTCGGGGTTTGTTTGTATCTGCTGTCACGAAACACAAGAGGCAGCAGAGGAGAAAAGCCAGACAGAAGAGCTTTCTCCTCTCTCGTCATGAAATCAATGTGGTTTGTTTATGTGATATTACAGAAACATGTTGGACACAACTTAGGGACATAAGATAAGGTAAGGTGGACCTTATGGACCCTGTGGGGACATTCAGGAGTTCAAGCAGAGCAAAAGTACAGTACAGGTTCACACAAGATGAATACAACTAAAGATACAATTAAAACTATATACAGGTAAATAAAGAATAGAATTAAATGAATATACATATCTGAGTCCGGGTTGTTATGTGTGCAGGTCAAAGTTATTGTGCAAAAGGTGCAGATTTGATGTACAATACGTGTTGTTTTTGTGTGTGTTACCTGGAATGGTGCATCCTTAACATCTATAAAGTTTGTTGCTGATTTACACTTGACATTAAGGATATTTATTGTTTCAAATTGATGAGACTGTTGTATATCATCCAGCCTACAACCACCTGTAAGAAAGACTCTTCAAATGCTTTTTAGAGCAAGCATGCAACCTGCTAGAATACCAAAATATAATGTTTTGCACCCGAAATACGCCTCGACGTTTAGTGGGCAACTTTATCCTTGTTTTAAGAGTTTAGTTTTCACATCTTACTTCTTTTCCCCTGTTGATGGAGCATTGACCTCTGTCAACAAATGAAGGACTCTGCTTCTTCTCGATCTATATTTGATTTTTCCTTTAAACACTATCTCAAGGATTTAATCTTGATTATATCAGCCCTGATGAATAATAGTATCAGTAGAAATAAAAACATTTTAACAAAGTTTTTGGTTAAACTTTAGAAAGTAAGGAAGGTCATACTCGAGAGACTAAGTTGTAATCTATTCTCATCAATACATGGCGATTGTCACTTGTTGCAGTATAGATTGAGCAACAACAGGTGGGATTACACTCTCTGGCTCTCAGCCTCAGTTATGTGGAAGCGTGTAAGAGGGGTTGAATTGATCATCCCAGCTGCAGTGCACTCTGGGTAAGGCCGCTGTAAGGCCGAGGGTTGCCCCAGAAACCTCCAGGCGATGCGTCAGCGCTGCTTGTGGAATGCCACAGGCCCGTTTCCTCCCTATTGTGACCAGCTACAGAAACCCCCCCCCCCCCCCCCCCCCTTTCTCCTTCTCCCCCCTCTGAGGTGAATAGAGGACTTCAGTGAAACTCCAGACTACCCACCCCCTCCACACACACACACACACACACACACACACACACACACACACACACACACACACACACACACACACACACACACAACACACACACACACACACACACACACCACACACACACACACACACACACACACACACACACACACACTCTCTATACCTCCTCCTGCAACTGCTTATTATTAAGCCAGGATGAATCCATGTTTTAGTTTTTCAACAATAATTCCCAGAAACTATTCCACTTCTTTGTTTTAACACAGTATATTAACCAAAGCACACATATTATAAAAAGATCAAACAATCCTGTAAAAAATCAAATGCATTTTGTCATGTTCTGTTCTATGTTCTAGAATAATACTATATATGATTTGACATGTTTTCATGTATGCATACAATGTGATGCCTATGTGGCTGCATATTGTGATTTTACATTTGAACTCTGTTCTGATGTTTGTTGATCACAGTGAGGGGGATTCTGTTTCTGAATCTTTCTTCTGATTGTTTTTTCTCCAGGCATACGAAGCCTCTGACGTTTGCTGACTGTATTGGCGATGAGCTGCCGGTGGGATGGGAGGAGGCGTACGACCCCGCCGTCGGACCGTACTATGTCGACCACAACACCAGTGAGCTTACTCTGATGTGTTCCTTTCACATGTTATTTTTCCATTTTGACTCCCTATCGTTTCTGTTTCTTGCCCCTTGTTAACTCTTTTTTCCCCTCCTGACTATCTTCACCTGACTAACTGTATGTTTTATTTGTTCTATTATGTGCCAAAACTGTAAAGGGGACTCAAGAACTATCCAATATAAGCAGTCTTAAGTTATTCTTCACATAAACTGGAAACACTGTTTCCCAAGTATCTAAGATACATGGATTTGAAAACTTTAAAAAAGATCATTACATTATAATAATTTCTCACCAGTCCAATAAGTGCACCTTTCCTACAGTTATTTAATGGGTTAAATTGCTATTTGGATACAGCAGTTCTATTAATCAGGTGTCTTGTCAGTATCCAAAAGGACATTTTCAAATCTTATAAATGTTTGGCATTAAAGTTGACATATAAGTAAAGTAATCAGTCTTATCTCTGCTTGACTGAGCCGTATTTGATGGCTTTTCTAAATACTTGCCAACAGATATTTAGACACCATCATTCATATATAAACAACACCATAAAGCTGAACATCATATTTTCAATATAAATCATTAAAACCAACAAGCAGGTTTTTGCTCATATCCTACAAGACCTAACTCCTCTTCCTCCTCCACTCATGGTCTTCCCTCTCTCCCCCCTCTCTCCCTGCAGAGAGCACCCAGCTGGAGGACCCGCGGGCTCAGTGGCAGCGCGAGCAGGAGTTCATGCTGCGGGACTACCTGGCCGTGGCCCGCGACGCGCTCAGCGCCCAGAAGGAGATCTACCAGGTGAAGGAGCAGCGGCTCCGCCTGGCGCAGCAGGAGTACCGGCAGCTCCACGACGCCTGGAAGGACAAGTCCACGTCCCAGACCAGCTGTGAGTCCTGCAGCTCCCTTTGTTCCACATGTAGGCACCTTTTGGAAGTCAAACAGAAAGGGATTTAACAGCACAGTAGGTGTTCCTGACAGCTAAGCAAATGGTATCCTCTCAAAAAGCTATGGATTCCCTTCCAAAAAACAGTCTTAGTCTTAGGTATCTTAGGCCTAGGCTCCACGGGAACGAAAACGGGTTGTATCCGCATATTTCTCTTGCGTATAGCCCTTTAAACTATACGACGCCGTAACGGAACCGTAGAAACAGACCCTGCAAACGACAACGGGTCCAAAGGTGGATAGATCTGGGAACGGAGCGCTCTGGGGGGTCCAACGGGGCCGCGTGGTAGCCTATACGGTCATCCGTTTCTGATAATGACGACGCAATAGCCCCGCCTCTCCCCGCCTCTGCTGCTCACCCCCGCAAAAGTACACTGCACACTGAATTCAGATTATTTATCTTTATCTCGATATGGACATAAACGCGAGTGAAGTCTAATCTGACAGGACGGAGACTTAAACTTTAACACACGTTGACCGGCGAAAAACTCTGCCCGGTTCCGTCGGCCCCCACCAAGGACAATAAACAGAAGTGTAGCCATGACAACCATTCTTCTTCGCTGCTTTTGTGGAGGAAGTTGCTGCTTTTGTGGAGGAAGTTACAGCGCCACGTACAGGCTCGGCATATGTACTGCAGCTTTTCCAGCGGTTGGATGTAAATGGAGCTGTCTCGTGGAGCTTGACACAATCCGGTGTATATTGCGTGGGGACGGAAGGTTTTTGGCGTTTGCGTTTGCGTTAATCCTATGCGTTTTGCCGTATGCGTTCCCGTGGAGCCTGGGCCTTAATGATGAACTGCAATTTTGGGCTGTTTACAAAGAAAAACCTGCATCGACACTGCTGACCTTTTGGGATGAAGAAGAAAAAAGAAGATGAGGAGGGTAGAAAGGTTTCATTTGGCATCAGTGTTGCTTTCTTTGCCGTTTTCTTAAATCACAAAAATATAGTATTCACCACCAGAGAGGTTGATTGTTTACTTTTAATGATGAGGTTCTTGTCAAAATAAATCCTCACGATTGCCATGAGATTTCTTCATCTTAACAGAAGTAAACACACTTTCCCAGAGTGACTGGTTACGTCTCTCTTGCTCAGAGGTTTCTCCTGTCAACTTTCCCTGGTTAAAATCGAAATCAGATGTGAAATAAACATTTGAAAGAAGGTTGTCGGGCCTTCCTAACACTTCTCTTTTTCCTATTTTTTCCTTTTATTACCTGCAGTGAATTCCAGATCGTCTTCGTCCAGCAAGTACGACCCGGACATCCTAAAAGCAGAAATATCCACAGCCAAAAGTCGGGTAAGAGCCTCAGCCTCGTTTGACTGATGCCTGATCTATATAAAATACATGTTTCTTATTAGGGCTCAAGTTGTTTTAACATCATCAAATCTCTTGTTTTCTGAAAGTCCAAATTATAATTTATCATCCAGTTGTTTCTGATTAAAATTATTTCAGCACTGTCTTGTCTTTTGGTTCTAAGTTTCTTCAGTTAAAATATAATAAAATGTTCTCAAGTCTTCTCTGAAAGTAAGCTGACTATCTTCAGGTCTCTGACTTTGGGCTGGACACTATGATGGGCATTTATTATTTCCTGCCATTAATTGACAAAACATTAAGTGAGAAAATAAATATGGGTAGATTTGCTCCTCGAGATAACTCTTAACAATGTCATACATCAGACAGTAAAAGTTCTATGTGAGTCAAACATTTACTATCTCATTTATGATATACTCATATGTGTGGTTACAGATGAATGATATTAGTAGTGAGCAGGAGGATACTTAGGCACTCACTCTTCACTCTGAGTTTACGTTTACTAATCCTGGCTGTGGATCAAATATGCAGAGGAGTTACCTCCCTAACCACATGACCCAAACTCACTCTTGCCACGTGACTAATACAATGCATTCCACTGGCGCCTGTTTAATTGTATTTTTATTAACCTCATATCTTTTAAATGCAAGTCATAGCACAGTTCTTAATGCTATGAGGTTTGAAAAGTCTGTGGATATTTCAGACCAATTATGAATATTTCAAGCATTGTGTGCATACGAGTACCTCTCCTGTGTCATTGGGCTCCATTGTTGCACTCTTACATTGTATTTATTCAGAATCAGAATCAGAAACAGATTTATTGCCAATAACATACGAGGAATGTGCCTTGGTGTTTACAGTGCATACACAAAAACACAGCTTAAGAAGATGCATTCAAAATGATTTTACAGAACTATTATAACATCAAATTATTGAAAAATATTTACATAAAATATAGATATACCAAGAAACGACCTACAGTATAATACGACAAAATACAAAAATATGTGCAGTATTGGTACATAAAGTGGAAAGCTGTGCAGATATTAAAAGAGGTAGCTTTGTGTACAAATGCACAAAATATTCAGAGGGTTGTGCAAGACTGGCGGTATTAAAATGAACAAGATATTGTTTGTAGCGTGTTCAATCACACATACACCATCTTTTTGCTCCAGATTCTTACTAAAGCACAAAATGTGTATTTTTTAAACCGTGAAATTAGTCCCCAGCTCTTTTTGGGAATTATTTACATTATTTAAAATAAATGAAACTATATTTGTGAGTCTTGTTAACAAAATAACATGTTCAGTAGGATCCAATGGTGTTGAGTCTGAACGCCACAGAGAGGTTAGATACGTTTTTCAAGACTGACACATGAATTTTTTGGGGTTTTTAATGTGATTTTATTGTCAAAAAATAGCTTATTCTTTCAAATAATTCAAAACTAACTGTTGTGTTCTCTGTTTCAGGTGAACAAGCTGAAGCGGGACCTGGCCTGTATGAAGCAGGAGCTTCAGTTCAAAGAACAAGGCTTTGAGACGCTCAAAGAGTAAGTGCTGCATCCTTACGTCCTCACACACATACTGATGACCTTGATTTCTCGGACAAACTGGTATTTGTTGCTCAGGTATACTCATGTATTGCCTCCCTGACCTTGAGTTCTTGCTGAAGGGCAAATTGACTGGTATATTTGTTAACAGTTGACACTTTATGATACCAGCAGACCTCCTCATTTAATTTGACGCGCAATGCAAGACAGTCAGAATATGACCTGAATAGCAAGTGTGTGTGTGACCTTCCCTCTCTGTCTTCACTGATTTACAGTATCTCCATACAAATGATCAAAATTAGGTTTAATGCCAAGTACACAAACCAGGCATTTGCTTTGGTGAATAATGGTGCATGACTAAAATTAAACTATTTTAAAAGCAATTTGTCAAGGTGAGTCAAAGTTAATTAAACATGTGACTCGAGTCCACACCTCTGACGTCCGTCCACTCCTGAAAAAGTGTGTTAATATTAAAGGGTGCAAAGCATCAATACATGTCCTATCATTTCCTGAACTAATGTTAACGCTGTTCATTCCCAGAAATCAGCTACATTTTGTCTAATAATTTCAGCTATTTTTATTTGACTTTGAATTTTTATAGTTATAGCTATATGTCCACAGCTTCAATGAAAAGTGTATCACATTTATTTTGTATCAAATCACCATTAATTACATATCTGCTCAAATATAAGTCGATTTTCTTAGTCCTCTGACAGTAAACTGACTATCTTTAGGTTTTAGACTGTGGGTTGATCTGCACTTCCTGTCATATAAAGACACAGTTATTCAATGAGATAATAATTATGAGTACAAATGCACCACTTTCTCTGAACCATGACTTTCCTGAGTGCTAACCAGAAATAATTATACCAAACAATAATTTGCAGTGGTTAGCAAATACCAGAGTGTAGTATGCAAAACGCACTATGACTTTATTGAAGACAACAAACTCAAATTTGAGGACTTGTTGTTTTTGACTTTGGAAATCCACTTTAGTTGGGACTTGAGTGCAAAGACTTCAGACTCACTTGAGAAATGCAACTTTTGGACGTTTCTGAATCGGGTTTTCCCTCTACTCGCTGTAATCTGCTCTTCTTAAAAATCCTAGCAATGTCTCAACCTAGCTCTTATCTTCCATTTTTCTTATCCTTATCAATGACATAATCACTCTAGCTTCACAGAAATATCTATTTAATTTCAAGATGAACGTGTCAAGACTTGCCAAGATGTGTCCCAGGTGAACAGTTCATGTGAATATAGAGAATTGTGTTGAATGGATGAGCGTTACTGAGAAACGCCAGAGCAGCTCACTCTCTTATCACCTGAGTTATTGCCTCGGCATTATCACACATTCCATCAGATCATTTAACACTCTATAAACGCACCGATGGAACAACAGCTGAAGAATGTGGATTTAAGAGGAAACACCCCTTTCTATGTGACCTACTTCTACCTTCTGAAGCGAGTTCATCTCAACGTGCAAGGTGTATCAGGAGAATGTGGATCTGATTCATTCCTCCATTTGTTCTTCATGTCACACTGAAGCTGCTGTGATTTCTGAAATTGAACCTGATTGGAGAGCAGATCCGCCGGTGTTGAATTGAACAGGAATGTCTGGTCTCGCGCAGCACAGTGAGAGTGTGAGGAGGATTAAAGAGTAGCTGAGGCAGAGCGGTCGGACGGCATTCCCCCGTGACTTTCCTCTCCTGTTTCAGGCGTCAGACGCCACTCGGCAACCAATCGCTGTTTGCAGAAATACGAATAGGCTTAGACTGGAATGCAGCCCAACACTCCTGTTAAGATTTCACAAAATACTGCTGCATAGGAGGGGATTTGCTATGTTTCACATATGTATGAACAGATAAATAATACACTGAATAAGGCATATGGAATCTCCGGTAATATACTTTAGTGTGCTTTTGGCTGGGTCTGTTTTGATCAGTTTTGGATATTATGTCAAGTTTTTCGGACAAAGAGTTTATAGAATATTTTAAACCAGTTCCCAGCAGTCTCACAATGACTGTCATTTTATGAGGGCAGAACATATGTTTGTATTCCACAAGCTCCTTTCTCCAGACTTCCCTGTAATATTTTCCTCTTTTTCTTGTGATTAATTGGATGATTTTATTTTGTATTCAACAACACTTCAAAAACAACTATTAGACGTTGGTACTGGGCTATTTCAGCTGATACCCAGCACTAAGTAGTAACAACACTTCTCCAGTAAAGGATACCAGCATGTCTTCCTTTTTATACCTACATATAGAATAAAATGCACTTTGTATTATTTTGTCAGCATCCAAACACCACAAGCATTCTTTATTATAATGCAACTTCTAAATGGCCTCCTACCACAGGAGCTACAGCCAATACAGTCTGTGGTGTGGGGAGCGCTGTATAAATACATATTTTAATAGTTTGAACACAAACTGACATGTGTTTGAGTTAAGGAACCTACAGTGAATGTTAAGCTTACAGCTGATCAATTTAACATGCTATAATCTCGTTAACATTTAAACAAACATTAGTTTAGTTAAACAACATATTATATCCATTTCAGTTATATAGTTCTTTCTTTGTAGCAACGTCTTTGCCTCTGCTTTACCAATTCTGATCATTTCTCACAAGCAATATAACCTTTAAAACAACTATCAGTTAATCTATCACAGTCTTCTAATGTTAGTCCAACATATTGATGGTATCTTCCTCCAAAATGATAAAAAGTATTGCTCTTATGCCCATATACTTTTGGCCATATGTGCGGTATGCTTTGAGGCATTTAAGATAACCGGGCTCTTTCTCCTTGGGCAAAACATTGGTGTGAAAAGGTGTGACATTTAAAATGTACAGTAAAGATTTGGATTGTCAATTTTAAACGTGACTGTTTCAGCTTAGTAACTATTTGTTAAAGGTCCCTCTCTCTCTCTGGGGTCATTGTGATTTTTGTCATAAAAAGGTTGATAACAGCGTTTTCTCTCGGCACAAGTCCATCTTTGAGAAGGACTTAGAGAGGATTACTGGTTCTCTCTGCCTGACACAGACTCTCTCACTCCCTCACTTCCTCATTCTCTCTGTACCTTGTTTTCTCCCTCTCTCTCTCTCTCTCTCTCTCTCTGAACCTCCCCCCCCCTCTCCCTCTCTGAAGAATGTGGAAGGACCTGTTATTCAGATGCATGCATGACTTGCTGATGAAAGGCTTTACAGAGCTGCTGCTGCTGCCTCTGATGGCTGTTTCCTGTCTGTTCTCCCTGCAGCCAAACACTGGATCTCATGTGTGAACGCTACAAATTGAGCAAACATTTAATCTCCATTTCCCAAATGGTCCTGAGTTATAACGCAGAATCAAAATCAGAATCAGGTTTATTGCAAAGTAGGTTTACACATACAAGGAGTTTTCTTTGGTGCATAATGTGGCATACATAGTAAGACGAATTGGGTTATAGAACTTTTTGAAAACTATTATAAAATAAAAAAAACGGGATAAAACATTTTACAAGAAATATCAATTTACAAAGAAATATATAAAAAAGAAAGTTACTCTGAAAAAATGTGCAGTACATCAGAATTGAAAGTGAATAGCTATAAAAGCTGATTAATCAAAATAACAAAAGTCGGCTTTATATTTAAACCCATTTTAATGTGGACTTTATTTGGTTATTATTAGTTTTTTATTATTGCCATTATCTGGTTCAGACGGACGAAGGACCAACAGCTACGTTAAGTCATCTCCTGCTTTACATAAAAAAATCAGCTCCGCTTCAAAAAAGCTTTTCTACCTGTTGCCTGTGACAATGAGCCAATCCCTCTCTTACAACACAGTATGTGCACGTCTTGAAAAGTCTCAAAAGTCCAAACACCCCTAGAGAAAAACCCTTAGATATTGTGTCTCACAAAATCCACTTGTATTAGTTATAAATGTATTTTTTTTGTCGTGATGCTGACCTTTTGGAGACGTAGAGTATAAATTGGCCTTTACACCTCTGAACTAAAACGGGGATGGTTGTGACGGTGCTGCAGGAGGCTGTTCTGTTCTTTTTTGGGCAGTTTTTTTTTAATGTAATAACAAATAATTGTACTTTACATTGTCTGCCTTTGTTTCCCATCATACTTTTATATGATCATGAACGTGATCTCGCCTTCTATTTACAATAAACCCTTACACTGAGTATAACAAAGATGCAAATGCAAGATCCTGCAGCCTAAGAGCCAGCTAAATGTGCTGCAGTCCCCAGCTGATCAAATGTCTGCTTTTAAAGCTGAGGCTGCAGTGTTCCAATCTCTGGCCCATCAAGGTATTGTGAGTTTACACGTTTTACAAATGAAAAGATTCAGCGCAGGGGATTATTCGGAGAAAACAACCCTCTTGCATATTTGTAATATCTAATCCATTTAAAAAACTTTGCTGATGGTTCTAAACACAGAATATCATTGATAACATCATAATCAGGATACATCGTACAATAATTTCTCAAAGAACAAGTAATAAGCTCAATAGAGAAGCTTGGAAAATATGTAAATAGGTGAGTGAATGAGCAATGCCTCCACCTGCTGTAATTCTTCACACTGTGGTCACAGCTTCACACTTAGTGTAACTGTATGAAAATGAGTCAATTTGGTGCTGTCATGTCTCCACACTCAGCTGATCTAGTTGCTTTTGTAAACGGTTAAAAGAGCAGCTGATTTAAAAGTCATCAGATCTGTGAAAGTGATCATCTGTCCGGAGCAGCTGACAGTAAAAGTGTCAGGACATTTTGACAGGATCATTGGCTGTTGATACGGCTACTTACATCTATTCTAATGCATCATCTCCTGTCTCTCTCCCCTTCTACCTCACCCCCCTCACCTCCTGCCCCCCCCCCCCCAGGATAGACCTGAAGGTGTCCAGCAGTCCGTATGGCTTCAAGCTGCAGGAGGCGCAGAGCATCCTCAGCGAGGTCCGCACCATCCGAGACGCCATCAGCTCTGGGGAGAAGGAGAAACAGGAACTCATGCAGGTAAAAATACACATCCGTAATGAAGGGTGTAACAGTCAAGTACATCTAGAAAAATGTGATGATGAGACGTAGATGAGCCCATAACTAGTCAAGCGTTGTCGGGCTCAGCTTAGTAGCACCTGTCATTTGATGTTTAATCTCTAAATGTAGTTTAAAATGTTCCAAAATCAGATATTCTAAACTTTGTTTGCCAATGTAAACCTGTTTTAGCATTGACAAACAAATCCACTACACTGGTGAACCACCTTCTTCGATTTCTCGTCATTTACACTGAGACAAATTACCTGAACTCGAACACGAGAAGAATAAACTTCAGTACAAATGGCTTGCTGATGTAAAAGCTTAGCATTGTTTAAAGGTCGCTGAAGGCAGGATGTTGAGTTGATCAGCTCCAGTATCAACTCTTTGATGAACAAAAGAAGAAAGGAAAGAGGAGACAGGAACTCCAAATACTGACATGTGATACAGAGAGCCACGTGGATCATGTCAGAAATCTCAGCCAGACTTCATCACAATGTGCATATTCCCACAAAAGAAAGGAATTTCATATTACTTGCTTACTACAGAGTAGAAGTGTTTTTAGGCCTTTTTATAGAAAACTTCATGCTTAAAAACCAACTTTTCGAACAACTGCTACAAGGTCACTTTGCTACTCGTTGTTTTTAACATTACCGTAGTTGACCATGAAAGACAGTTTATAGTGTTCCTTAGAAAAACAGCTTGTCTTTTATCGGAATAGACAAGCAAATATGGGGTGTATAAATGAGTCCCATTCAATATTCAAAGCTTTATTGTCATGTGCACAGTAGCTACAGTGTAGATATGGCAATGGAAAACTCCTTCAACAGTGCAACGTGAATATATAGGACATAGAACAAATAAAACAGATCAAATAATGCAAGAGAATGTTTTGGGATGTGCAACAATGTAAATACAAATAATATAGAAATAGTGCAAGAAGTGGATGGATGGATTAGGGAATGGTGATATGACAAATATTGAATATCCCAATGTGTTTTACCAATTATCTCTATCAAACTAGCGACGATATTAAACATACATTTCTCAAATAATCATTAGCAACATGGATTTAATGACCAATCATGTAAGGGCAAATATCAGCAAAGGTACATTTAGAACATGACATCATTTTACTAGGAAAAAAATTACGATATCCAAAATCTATGGCGATATCTAGTGTCATATCATTTATCAATATAATTCCCTGCCATAAAATACATAGACTGTAATGTGGAAAGTAGCAGAATTGAAAGGCTCTGACTGAATAACCTCCAGATGCTCTGTGCAGTGAGTTGCAGCGTATCACTCATCTTCAAACGCTGTGGCAGGCAGTGGTTTGTGAAGAAGAGGAGGAATAGGAAATGAAGGTGGAGTACGAAGCGAGGCTGTGTGAGGCGAGGAGACGAGGCCTTGAGACGAGGCCTCGAGACGACCCTCAGGAGAGTCTTAATGTTAAAACACTTCACATTATATTGCTGTGAGAAAAGTGCCACATGCAGTAAAACAGATTTAGGGACCCGCAGTAGCTGAGGCTGCTTCAGAGCTTCCTGTCAGCTTCACTCGGGAGAAGAAGCTTTGTGTTTGTGGGGATCAGTTTCAGTGTTTTCTCCAAAGTGAAAACTATTTAGCCGACGGCAGCAACATTTATCAACGCTGAAGTTTCATTTTGTTCGCTGCTCATGTGGTTTAAACTCTGAGTGGGTATTAGATAAGATGGAACTTTATTTATCCCCTAGGCGAAATTCAGATAGATAGATGGATTGATAATTTATTTATCCTAATTTTTGGAAATTGTTTTATCACAGCAGCATGTTGACAGTCGTCAAGAAAAAGAAAAGAAAAGAACTACAACATTTCTTAAAAATAGAATAAAATACACATATTCACACTATAGAAAATACATATTCAGAAGAGTATTTACACACTATAAAATATACAGAATAAATTAGAATACTAATCTACTAATGGGACAGAATCATATCAGGATAGTCTACTTTATACAGATTTTAATTCAAAAATCAAATGTATCCTGTGAGTTATTGGCTACAATATGTGAGTACAGTATGTGCAAATTGTTCATTATTATAGAAAGGGAGAACCAAAACTATTTAATTATTTGAGGGTGAATTAGTATTTATTTTTTTGTCAGTTCTGGTATTTCAGGTGGCACTGTAGTCAGAAACCAGTTTGAGTTTGGAAACAATTATGCAACGTATGGTTGCACCTACATATCATCTTTATTGTCATATTTCTATCTTTTGTGTTTTCGGTTAATAATTTTGTCTATAAAATATCAAAAGAAGTTGCAATTATTTCTTATTTTAAAGCCCAATGTGCATCTTTAAATGCCTCGCTTTGACTGACAATATATCCAAAACCAAAATAAGTTTTCAGCTGATTTCCAATGATATAAAAGAGAAAAGCAGCAAATCCTTCTTTGCAAAACTGCGTAGTTCTGCTGCATGGTGACTTTAAGCTCAAGGTCCAATATGCTTTATTTGCATGAATGAAAATGTGTCTATCCTCCTCTTCACTGCTCTCTGCGACAAACAAAAGGTGTTTGACTTTTATAACTCCAAACCCTCCTTTGCTTCTCTACTGTCCTTTATCGTGTGTGACAGCATCGCAGTGCAGTGTTTACTCCGTATTTCCACCATGACTGCAGACTCTATTAAAATTAAATGATGTGACAAGCTGCAGGTGTAAGGGGAGCGGAGACTTCACAAAAAACTTGTTGTAAAAATAAGATTTTTGGCTCTCATGCAGAAAATGGCAAACCACCACTAATTGGTTCTTGGTTGCTAATACACCGTTATTCATCATTATAATGCCTCTAGGATACATTTTTGATATCTGTCTTGAAAACATTTGTAATGTGTTTGATCAGGGCAGATGTTCTTTGATGCTCCAGGCAAAAACACGCCTGCATATTAAAGGGTAGAACATATCAAATGTCTATAAATCTTAGTTTTAAGCATTTCCGACTCACATTTTAGACTTTAGACTGAAATGAAAACTCCCAGTGGTGACAATTTTCCATCAGCCGCTTGTATACATTCTTAAAGATTGAAAATATTAGGTTTTTTCAGGCAATCCTGTTTGCAGAGTCGTTTGGCTCATATTTGCTTAAAGGTAGAGTGAGGAAAATGTGTTCAAGAAAAGATAGTCTGCCTCCCATCTCTCCCCCTTCCTCCCCCTCGCCATCTGCAGCCGACAGTTCAGTGTGTGTGTGTGTGTGTGTCACAAAAGAGAAATGGAGAGATCTGTATTCCTGCTAACAGACCTCACTGACAGCTTCACTTTAAACTGAGCCGATACAATTAGTCAAAACAAATCAATCAAATTTGACGATCTATTAATTGTCTGTCAATTTTCAAGCAAAAATACCAAAGCTCTCAATTTTGGGAATGTGCCGCTGTCCTGCGTCTCAGGTGATAATAATCTAAATATTTGCTGTTTTCTAGTGTAGGAATATATTATTTGATATGTACATATATATCTACTTGCTGCAGAAAATGAGGAGAATCGGTTAAATAAAAATGATGTGGATTCACTTTGTCTGGCACATGGAAAGTGATACAAATGTTTGAAATGGGGGAAAAAAATCTAGCAGCTGCTCAATTAAAATAAAACTGCATCTGCTGTTTTTTTCCCAGAGCCCTTAGAGAAAAAGGTAGATGATTTCTGTGTAATGAAATCTTTCAAATTCAAATGTAAACACTTATCTCTGGTTGCCACTCGGGTCTGTATAACAGCCATGGAGAGCTTTGTATTTAAACTAAGATGCTGTTAAGGCATTATCTAAATACTTAAACACTCCCACGATCAAAAAGGTGGTAATGTTATTTTCACGCCCCCGTTGAAAAGCAAAGATAAGGTGCGTTCCACAGCATGCTTCAGAAGCAGCCGCCGAGTGGAGTATATAAGATATTCATCACGGCTGTAAAAGATGAAAGTATGACTGTGGCAGCGTCTCTGCTGCTGCTCCACAAACACACCGGGAACATGCAGCGAACACACAGGAGGTCCCTTTTAACGCTATTTACAGCTCTGTCATCTCGCCGGTGCTCTTTGGGGAGCTCTCACTGAATGCCTCTGTACAGTTAGCAGTACAAACGTCACTTTGTAGTTCAAGGTTGATTCCTAGAAGCTTCAATTCCTAGATGATCAAACGAGAGATTAGAGTGCAAAGGACAACATTTTCAGAAACAATGAGACATCTAAGGTGTCATAATATAGTTTGATGCCCTAATCCCACTGCATTCAATCACTCACTTCATATTTTAATTATATATAATCTTAGTTTCATTATACTCGAATTGCAAAAATAATCGTTTATATAAACTTTTATTAAAATCGCAATATGGACTATCCAAATCTTATTAAACGCAATATTTGTCAAAGGCTAAATACGGGAAAGTACTGTATCTCAATAAGACTACAAACGGTCTTTAAAAAAATATATGTTTGGTTCTTTTGTCAAACCAAAATCACATTGATGATTTTAAAATATTTGCCATTGAGAATGTGAATATTGTTTTAAAAAAAGATAATTTCCTAGTGTCCCGAAACATATCGCAATTGCAATATCATTTGGTATAATCACATTTTTCCATCGTGTGCAGCCCTTCTGAAAGCAGTACTGTATTGTTACTTTATATAACTCTTTTCTGTCCTTAATCACTTCCTTGTCTCCTATTCCTTGTGTAGTTTCTCACCCCGATGTGCCAGTTTCTCCCTCCTTCTGATCCTTGCTCCATGTAATCTGCAGCAGCTCTTGTTTTATCTCTTGTTGCCGTAGAAACTGGCGGTGCTGAAGGACAGTTTCCAGCTGGACTCGGGCTCTCAGCAGGAGCTGTGGGGCAGCAGTCCCTCGCTCGCTAACTCCGAGCTGTGCATCCCGCGGCTGTACTCCGACGCCGGCTCGCAGACCGACATCCCCGCTGAGGTGAGTCCCAGAGAGGATGTCAGTTTTATTTAGGTTTTTAAACATGTATTTTTATGATTTCTTTACATTTATCACATTACACAAACACAACCGAATATTCCCCAACATTAGACATATGGCAGATTACATAATAATTCTAAAATTCAAATAAAAAGTGTGCAGTTACTAGAAATCAGTTTAAAGTACAGACCAAGAATATAATTACATTTGCAAATTGACAAATTCAACAGAAATACAATAAAAGCCCATCTACAAACAGAGCAGAGTGCTTACAATTCTCCAAATAGATTACCCATATTCAACATTCCCTCACAGTAGTTTAGTCTATTCATTTCCATAGCTTCTTCAATGTCCCCATTTTTTATAAATTCCAAAAACAATTAGGATGTCAGTTTTTACTTCACACGAGATACAGCTTTCAGAGAGGTCACACAGTCGGTTTTGAAGTTTTGCAGTTATCAGCACAACATAAGGTATAGTCCCCCACGTGTTAGCATTCATCTTAGGGCAGTTCTTTCCAAGAGACAATAAAATATGGACACCAAGTCGACCTTTTAAAAGACAGGCTATCCATCAATCTGAGTGAAAAGGACTTTTTATGTATTGACTTACTAGAGAACATGCCCCTGAACATTGATATCTATTACCTGTTGGAAGATAATGGCTATGTCGCCCCAGACTTGATTTGACTTATTTTTTTATACAAAACATTCTTGAACAATCTAGGTTTGGAAAAACTAGACTAAACTAAATGTTGCATCATAATTATGTCCTGTAATGAGCAATTTACAATGTTGTCTTGGTACGTTTGCTTTATTAAAGGATGATCCTGAATATTGTTTTATAAACTGATGTGTGTAAAACGTCCATTGTGTCATTGTTTGTGTGTAGTTCATGACCAGCACCAACAAACTGGCAGAGAAGGTTCGTGTGAGTCTGCAGTACGAGGAGGCCAAGAGAAGGTGTGCATCAAATCTATTGAAAACATTCAAATATGTCTGTTTGCAAGATTTTATGTCAAGGAATGCCTTAACCTGAATGAATGAAACCTTTATAATCGGTGTTGTTTAATTTGGTATGGATTCAGATTTGCAAAAGCTCTGTGTGATTTTGTTATTTGACCAGCTCACTAATCTGCTGTCGTTCTCCTGAGCGTTAAGCATCTAAGAGAATTTGCTCAAGATAAACACTGTAAAGAGAAGAGGATTTGTAGCAAAGGGTTGTTTGATCATACAGTTTCAAGGTCGGATACTTCTTTACAGAACTGTAATTATCTATGAAATCTGTTTTGTCTGTGTTCTTCCGAAGAGCTAATTGATGGCTAGAGTCAAAAGTCAAAGTCAACTTTATTATGTGTGATACAAACAGGGAGATCGACATTCTGTTTCTCTATGGCCCCAAGAATAAGAATATATACAAATATATACACGTATGTATACATACATACAAAAATGGAAGCTACAAAAATGAATATATAAAAATAGCAGTCTACACACACATTTGGACACAGGTGTAAGTCTAGTCTGGTAAACTAGACTTCTAATCCTAATAATAATAATAACTTTGATTTATAAAGTGTCTTTTATTAAACCCAAGGACCCTTTACAATAATTCAAAATGGATGAATATATGACAACAGTACAACTATTCTGTCCATTGCAGCTAGTAGAGAGAACGTGTCTGATGCTGGATGACTGTATGTGTCTCTGTGTGTATTATTGAGTATATAAGTCAAATGTTCATTAAACGTCTCCTCCTCCTCCTCCTCCTCTAGGATCGCCACCATCGAGGTGCAGATCGCCAAACTGGACAGCGAGGCGTGGCCGGGGCTGCTGGACCCGGAGCGGGACCGCCTCATCCTCATCAACGAGAAAGAGGAGCTGCTGAAGGAGCTGCAGTACGTCAGCCCCCGCCAGCGCATGCAGCCCAACGACAAGGAGAAGCTGGAGTCTGAGAAGAAACGTCTGGAGAGAGACCTGCAGGCGGCCAGAGACAACCAGAGCAAGGCCCTGACCGAGAGGTGTGTTTATTACACATGAAATACTTTATTTACCGATAATTATCAAAATCTGTAATGTACATGTAAGGCAAGGCTAGTTTATTTATATAGCACCTTTCAACACAAGGCAATTCAAAGTGCTTGACAAAAATGAAAGACATTAAGAGCATTGAGAAATAGTGCAGCGGAAACACATTATAAAATGGCGTTTAAGGAGTATTGTAAACATGAACACAATAAATAATGATACACACAAAGGAGGGTAGGAGGAGAGAACTAAATACATCGGTCTTCTTTAAGGACACACAGTTAATCAAAAGTTATGGAAATTGAAATACGGACTAGTACCAAAACACAATATTTAGTAAAGGCAACATTTGTGAAAATGAAGCACTGTGGGCCTGCAGAGAAACACTGGCCTTCAAACTCTGTCTACACACTTTATAACTAATCCTTGTTTGTTAAAGATCCTCCAAAAACATGACGTTATTATCATTTTTATCATGTTTTTGAATGATATTGTGAGTAATGTTTCATTCCCTCCTATCCTATTGCAATTACAATATCAGTCAATGTTACCTAAGTGAGTTATTTTCCTAAACTGTGCAGCCCTCATCTCTGTCTGACAGGAGCGGTGACGGCAGGAGCAGCTGCAGCAGAGTTTCTGTGTGTTTATTCTCTGACTCTCTGGAGAAGGTTAGAGGAGGCGCTGACAGCACTGAGGAGGCATTATCGTCTCCTCTGCTGATGAAGTGACTGACCTTCTGCTGCTGTTTGACTCCTCTGACCTTCAGACCTTCAGAGACGTCAAACCTCCCTGATGATTATGAACAGTTAGAGATGAGCATGACACTCCTCTCCTTTCCTTGTTTCTCTCGTTAGTCTCCTTTCCTCTACTTGTTTCCTCTTCTGTTCTGGTTGCCTCTTCTTGTCCACTCTCCCCTCCTCTCCTCTTCTTATTTCTTCTTTTCTCGTCTCCTTTTTGATTTCCTCTCCTCTTTTGTAACCTCTCCTCTCCTGCCCCCCCCTTCTCCTTGTTTTCTCTCCTTTCCTCTTCTCCCATCTTCCTTTCCTCTCTTTGTCTAATCTCCTTGTCTCATCTCCTATCTTTGTTTCCTCTACTCCTCTCCTTTTCTTGTATTTCCTCTCAACTCCTTGCCTTGTCTCTTGAACTCTCATGCCCCCCCCTTCTCCTTGTTTCCTCTCCTCTCCTTGTCTTATATCCTGTCTTTGTTTGCTCCTTTTCTTCTTTCTCATCTCCTCTCCTTGTCTTCTTTTCTTTCTCTTGTCTACTCTCTTTGTCTCCTCTACTTTCTTTTCTTATTTATTTTTAAGTCTCATCTCGTCTCCTCTTTGTTTCCTCTCCTTGTCCCTTGTCCTCTCTCCATCCCCCCTCTCATTGTTCTCTCTCATGTCCTCTTCTCCCATTTGTCCTCTTCTCTCCTTGTCTCCTTACTTTTCCTTGTCAACTCTCTTTGTCTCCTCTGCGTGTCTCTCTCTTTTCCTTGTTTCCACCCCTGTCCGATCCCTATCTCCTTATCTCCTCTCCTCTGCTTCGTCTCTACCTCTCTATTTCCAGTGTTTTAGTCTTGTATTCCTCCATGTTCTCTCTGTTCCTGCTCTTCAACATATGTCCTTCTCACTTCCTCCCTCTCTGTAGTTTTGTATCACTCTCACTTTTCCTAAATAGCAGCAGACCAGAACCATCAAGATCCCTCTCTCCCCCCCCCCAACAGGACTCTTATTATTCAGGCTTCAGGTCAGACTCTACCTGAGCTCTGTCTCTCTTTGTGTGTCTTCTCCTGTTCCGGAAACCTGAGAGGCTGCAGGGCCTGCTCACAAAAGGAACCTCTTGTAGTCCGCGCACACACACATGCACACGTACACGCACACACGCACACGCACACACACACACACAAAGATGAAGAAGAAATATGCTTAGGATTTCCTGAAGATGAATCCAAGTTTTGAGTGCAGCAAACACTTTCATTTGTTTAGAAGTTTTAAAAGACTCCATGCAGGTATTATCAGATATTTGGCCAATTAGACCTCCATTCAAGTTGGGCAAAGCTCTGCCAGTTATTGTGTGAAAGGTCATTATAGAAATGTCAAGTTGCCCTTCTCTGAAAAACACCACAGTGCTAGCAGAAGAGGCAGGCTTATGTCAAAAAAGCTCAGTCTGAAAACACACAAACAGTCCTGAAAACGAGCTTGTATCTAGTAAAAAAAAAAAAAAAACTTCTGAATCGGGCTGCAGTGTGTAGGTTTCCTGGTGCATGTTCATTTATTTAATTTGTTTGTTATTTAAAACAAATATCTGAAAATGTTCTTTTAACATCGTTAAAAGTCTGAAATATACGTTAACACTTGGAGGCACTGTGCTGTATAACTGTATTGACTAACCCACAAGTCAATCTTTTGAGATCTTCGTTAACATTTAAGAAACAATATGAGCACCCTTAAAAATATTTCTGTTTCTTTCCATTCTGGCTTTTTCTCCCTCCTCCTCTGTAGACCAAATGCATTTCAGTCCGCACACGCTTTGTTTCCCATTAGTAAAAGAAACACTCACAGAGATTACATTATAGAAGATCCAAAAATGAGACAGGAAACAGTCAAAGACACACACACACACACACGCACGCACGCACACACACACGCACACACAGCAGTGTGTAACCTGATAAAAGGCTTCCCCTCTTTGGCCTGTTTGCTCTCCAGCCATGGATCATAGTAACAGCTGTTCATGTTTTCCTCAGAACAAAGCTTATTCAAACAGATGACACCGCTGTCCCCTGAACACAAAGTGGCTTTTCCCCATGACGCCTGAACACATCACCACCGCTGTCATGTTATAATTGTTCTCTTTTTCAAGGACTCAAACCATTATTTATTTATTTTATATATGTGAAAGTGACCAATGTTCTGCCTGGGAGCAGCACAAAAAGAATAAGATTAGTGTTGGTTTCAATTTGTAGACAATTTAATTGTTCAGAAAGAGAGTTATCTTTAATCCGAAGGTCTGTAACTGACTGATTTTTTTTTTGTATCATTTCAGGCTGAGACTCCACTGCAAGAGGAACAAACTGGTCCGAGAGCTGGAGGAGATGGTCCGACTGGCCACATCCCTGCATACTCAACTCAAAGGGTTTGTTTCTCTCATTACTGCTGTCGATATCTTAAAGGACAATTCAGATTCATTCCAACCCAGGTCTTATCTTTGTAGTCATTTCTATCTAATAATTACGGAAGAGGAATGGGCCACATTTGCTTTTCCATTGGAGATTTGACTAAAAGTGATTTTTTTTCAGTTCTGAGATTAAAGTCAGAATTCTGGAGAAAAAAAAGTCAGAATTCTGAGATTTCCAGAAAATAAATATTATTATTTAAAAAACTCAAATTCTGACTTTTTTCTCAGAATTCTCAGATTAAAGTCAGAACAAATTTCTGGTCATTTCTGGTTTCTCGGTCACATCCCAAACAAGTGTTTCTCATGTGTCCCTAATCCTTTTACGTAAAATTAACATTTTACGCACCAAGTCATTTATCTGAAAATGAATATTTCTCGTAAAACTCCAATAAAAAAACTAATGTTCATTCGTTTATAGAGATAGGACTGTTATTGTCAGTACAGTAGAGACAGTTAATGAAGGAACATTTAGAAACAAATCTGTTGACTTAAAGATCAGCATGTTTTGCTTTATTTGCTTTATTTTTCCTACCTTCATTTATCACATTTAGCCTTTCTTAAATTCACCATATTTTCTCACAAAGTCGTTGACCATTAGATGATGGACTGAAAACATGTAGTCATTAGATTCAAATCAGGCAGAGAAGAGAGCAGAGCTTTGAAGGGAAGGGGAGGTTGAGAACATTTGGCGCGATGGAAGTATTTTAATGTTTAATCACCAAACATTTGCAAAAGATGAAAGCCATTTTGTTCTCCTCGTCGTTTTCATTTCACTCGCGCTCTCGCCACAAATCTCTCTTTCCAGCCCAATTATAAACATCCCTGGGAGGGAATCACATTGTTATGCGCTGACGCAAGGCAGCTGTAAGAACTGTACTTCTTTTCAGAATCGTTTCATATTTTACACTCAGACGGTTTCAATTCAACAGTGATATTCTGAATAGTTGCCAGTGTCCTCTCTGTCTCCTCCTCAGGCAAGTTTATCTCCCTCACTCTGTTTCTGTTCACGTCTAACCTTCTGGTCGGAGAAACATCAAACGTCTCCCCGGAGGACAGGAAGTCTTCTCTGTCTCCGCTAACGAGCCTCTCTGCTTTCATTACAGAGCTTTAATACACAGCTACAGGAGGAATCACTCTCAATATCTAAGCTCTATCCTAGGCCCTCCACTTGTTTTAAATTGCAATGAACATCTCGTCTGCTGTGCTAAGATATAGAATAAGACAAAATAGCCAAACATGTTGTGCAATTACAGCAGGTAAGTTTTTTTATATCAAATTTCAGACATAAAGGCTATTTGATATACAATACAATACAGCTTTATTTGTAAAGCACTTTAAAACCTCCAGACCAAAGTGCTGTACAGAGAAATCATGAAATGTATTCATAAAATACACAAATCACACAGCTCAGCTCACATACCGTAGTATAAGAAAGGTAATACAAATAAAAAGGTAAAAACTAAATAATAATGTATACAAATAATAACAGGCATATAGTACAAACAATATACCATTTAAAAGCAACAATCTACAAAGTGCTGAACGCTAAGGAGAAGAGGGGGGTTTTATGCGTTACAGAATATATAAGATATACTAAATAGGAGGCATACATAAACTAAAAGGATATAACTATAACAATTATTGTGATCTGTTTTAGCTGCATTATTTTGGGTGACATTTTTTATTTTTCTATTATGGAAAGGCAAATAAAATAGTGAGCAGACAGGGAGGTATATAGTAGGCGTGGGAAACAGAGTCTGCCTGTAGCCATGTAGCTTTCTGCTTATTCTTCTTCATGTTTCTTCCGTCTTCTTGCCTAAAACGTGTCTTTTGACTCTGTTGTCTTCACTAAAGCCTCTTTATTTCTCATCATTTTCTATCACTAAACTCAATGTGAAATAGAGAAATATGCTGTTTATGGAACTATCAAATGTATTTGTTTAAAACAATTATGTCAAGTTGATGCTTGTATCCAAAGCATTGTTACAAGTGTGACAGCATAAACAACCTGGTTACACATTACATTTGAAAGCGTGGATGTCATCAGGGATTTTTCAGACGCATATAAAGCTATTAAGTACAGTATGTTATGTTCTGTTTGAAAGAAATGACCTCTGAATGTAGGATGGTTGTCAAGGAATCCACACAGGCTTTATATGATTGCATTTCCTAAAGTAAACAAAAAAATAAAGAAGTCCTGTGGTCTACATTTTCTTTAAAAAGGTTACTTTATTTTAATAAACTAATTATAACACGGTATCCACAGACTTTTAAAATTGTACAACTTCCTCAAAAGCCCAGTCAGATGTGTCGCAAACGCTTGAAATGTAGGACAACATTATTTATTTGGGATTGGTCTCAAAAGCCTCAACCATTGTGGATGCATGCTGGATTATAGCAAACACAAACTGTCTTCTGGGTCACTGCCTGACAACTTGAAAAACACCTTGCATCATCGCTTGATAACAACTGTTCTGGAACATGGAAAATGTTTTATTAATTTGCTGTCTCTCCCTCAGGCTGTCGGCCAGCACCCTGTCCTGCTCGTCGGGCAGCAGTCGGGGGTCTCTGACCTCCAGCCGCTGCTCGCTGGCCACCACCTCCAGCCTGGGCTCCACCTCCTCCCTCAGCTTCACCGACATCTACCTGGAGCAGCCCGAGCTGGCCGACCCGGACTTCCAGAACAAGCTGGACAGCCTGCTGCAGGAGGGGGGGCAGGGGGGCTACCGGCCCTCCAGCTCCATAACCACCATCCACGAACACGAGGTGGTAACAGGCTCCGGAGAGACGCCTGAGGTCAGAGCAGGAGAGGTGGGAGGGGGTCCCGCTGGAGGAGGCGTGGCGGGGGAGTCGGGGTCGTCCAGGATCCAGGCCCTCAGACTGTCGGAGACCCCCCGCTCCATGAGCTCTTTGTCCCCCCGCTCCTCCCTGTCCTCTCTGTCTCCGCCCTGCTCGCCCCTGGTAACGGACTCTAGCTTCCTGTCCGGAGAGACGTTCGCGGGCCAGGCGGGGCCGGGGGGGCTGAGCCTGGATCTGGAGCTCCACAGCAGGCTGGCAGAGCTGGAACTCAGCCTGGACTCTCAGGAGCAGAGGCAGGAGGAGAGGGGGGGGCCGGGGGGGCCGGAGGAGACGCAGGAGACGCAGAACCACAACACCACACTGGGCGAGGAGGTCAAAGGTAAAGAGACGTCTTTTTTATTCAAAAGGTTCACACACTAGTTTCCAGTTCATCTCAAACGTTTTAGAATGTGAAGCAAAACACAATCTGTACAAAATACAGGACAATATTATTTATTTGGGGTTGGTCTAAAAGTTTATTCTTTCTTTTTTGATTCAACACTTTCACACACTTGTTTCCAGTTCATCTCAACATTTTGGAAAGGGTTTTTTTCAGGGTTCTGTGCAGACACGTCGAGTTAGAGGAGAAGATGCTTTGTTCTTCTTCTGTGTGCAAACTCCCCTATTACAAGATGCATTAGATAGATGGATAAATACTTAATACATCCCAAATTGGGCAATTATTAAGTTACAAATATTGAAAAGATAGAATAAGATATGAATATAATAGAAAATTAACATTAACAACAACAAATATATATACATATTCATAGGGTGAAATGTATCACTTGAGTATCCAAATAATACACCATATAAAGAAAATACTGAATACATTTGAATACTGTGCAATAGACATTTCACTAAGCAAAATATCTCAAATCTAGACGGGACACATTATAAAATGTAAAACAAAATAAAAGCTACATTTCAAGAAGTGAGAAATGATCAAAATGAGATACATATATATATACTGTACATGGATTGGTGCTGATGTTGCAAGCTTGCTTAAAGTGGACCTATCATGCTATATTTGAATAATATAGTGTAGGACCATACCTATATAAGGCATATTTATACGTTTTTTTTTCTCAAAATACCAAACAAATCATGCATTTTAGCCATGCCTCATTTTGCTCAATTTGACATTTTTTAGCTCTGTTTTTGCAAGGGCAGATTATGTGAGAACAGCACCATCTACAGGCCTGGCATATGTACTACAGCGTCTCCAGCGCTTTCGAACGGCAATGGCCGTGGCTGTCTCCTCCTGATTGGTGGAGTTGGTCCAATAGCCGTAGCGCCACCGTCCTGACGTCAGGAAAGTGTTCAAATCTGGATCAGTTTTTATCAGATCCGTTGCAGCCCCTTTTTTAGAGATTTGGGTGTGGAGGAAAATAGAGAGGGTTGTGTTTTCTGACACTTGGTGAGTTCCCTGGAACACCGGGGACACATATTCATGTATAAAAGACGTACAAAAGTGCATTTTGCATGATAGGTCCCCTTTAAATAAGTTGCTGTCCTTCCTTTATAATTTTTGTATTGAAACATCTGTTCTTCACCAAGCTGTGAAGCCTGTTTGTGCTGTGTGGATAATGGCACTGTCAGGAAAAGAGACAACCACAATCTGTTGACACAAAGTAGAAAGCCCACTGTTGTCTAAACATCCCTGTATGCTGCAGCATTAGATATGCCTCTCATTGTGACTGAAGAGCCTAAACCACACAGTACACAGAAGACTGAAGTGTTTGTTTTCAGGGGGGAGGTCTTCCAAACAAACAGAGATACAAAGCCTTGTCATTAAACTTGGGAGGGAATTTGATCCTCAAAGCAATCATTTCAAATCTCAACAGCAATAAAAGGATGTGTGCATAAAAACTCAGCAGCGCTCTAATGATGATCCCAGTTCATATCAGGAGAGCCATAACAGTGATGAAGTGTCTGCATGAGGCATGGAGAGAGGCTGCTGATGTAACGGCTTTATCTCCGTTTCACCAGACCTCAGAGAAAACACTCCAACTTTATTGGAAAGCAGCATACAAGGAATCGTGTGTGTGTGTGTGTGTGTGTGTGTGTGTGTGTGTGTGTGTGTGTGTGTGTGTGTGTGTGTGTGTGTGTGTGTGTGTGTGTGTGTGTGTGTGTGTGTGTGTGTGTGTGTGTGTGTGTGTGTGTGTGTGTGTGTGTGTGTGTGTGTGTGTGTGTGTGTGTGTGTGTGTGTGTGTGTGTGTGTGTGTGTGTGTGTGTGTGTGTGTGTGTGTGTGTGTGTGTGTGTGTGTGTGTGTGTGTGTGTGTGTGTGTGTGTGTGTGTGTGTGTGTGTGTGTGTGTGTGTGTGTGTGTGTGTGTGTGTGTGTGTGTGTGTGTGTGTGTGTGTGTGTGTGTGTGTGTGTGTGTGTGTGATGAGAAATGTGATACAGTGTGTGAAACCTGACTGCTGGTGGGAGCAACGATGAGAGGGGGAGTGGAGGTGTAGGATTACGGCTGCTGGGGGGGTGTGTGTGTGAACGATTTATTTATCCCTAGGGGACATTAGGTTTTGTGACATTTTCTACATTTCAAAATACAATAAATTGGAATTAAAATATTTCTATAAACATACAAAGTAAAAGTAAAAAATGTGCCATAAGAATATGAAATAAATAGATATATTACCATAAGAAGTTAAAATGTGAACATTGTACTGTATAACAACAATACATATGAAAACTATTTATATTGCAATAAATACAGTGGTGTATAGAATTAATAAACATATTGACATTCATACAAAAATATACAAATAGTTTAAAGAGCTAAAAGTATATGAATTAAACTGTTATTGATGTCAAATTGACTTGAATTGAACAAGTAGATCCACAGACAATGAATGGACAACATTGTTGATATTGGTCCTCATTAAACAAGCACAAAACAATATTTATTAGGATTTAGTTTTATCATTGTATACTGAATGTCCTTTTTCTGTAAGTTAGACGAAGCAACATATTAAAAGCATGCACAATTAGCTTTCAGCCGTTCCTGTTGGAAGTGTACCCATGACAGGATCAATAGATTACCCTGAAACCTAAAATAACCTCCGTGAGTATCGTTTCAGCCAAAGATGCTGCTGCAACTGAAATAAATGAAAACGACATGGTGGTTGTAATGTGGTGAGGGTCAGGTGGAGTTTGAAGCGGGCTCTCAGCCGCTGCAGCAGAACGTGACTCAGGTTCTGGTTGCGTCGTCGAGTGAAAGGTGGTCCTTGGGGTCCGGTTTCCTCTTCACGCTCCGTCACTGTCTGCCAGGACTCAACATGTGCCAACACTCAGAGTCTTCACAGCCAGGCCAGGAGATTCAAAAGCTTTATTTACATATGACCAATAGCTGCAGATCATTTTGCCATTGGAAATCTTGAGTGTCAAGCACCACCAATGCAACAATGCAACATACAGAATCCTTAGGATGAGGATTGTTCAGTGTTGTGATCATCTATAAATAAATAGGAAGACTGTAAACATATGTAAACAGTAAGGCTGTCCACACATCAACAGTGTCCACCCTTATATAAACCATACATGTGTTAAGATCAGTAGCAATAAGTTAAAACCATTGTGTTAGCAGCCATTGTGACATCACAATTCCCTTCTACAAACTAAGGCAGGCTGTTGTTCATTGTTTACACTGCAGACCTTAACAAAGCAAGGACAGCCTAATTACATGTCAGAGCATAACCCAAACATATTGTAACTGTAGGGCGTACACAGGGTCCGTGGTTTAGCAAATACTTTGAGCTGAATTGCTGAGGTTTACTGTGTTTGGTTTCAAATCTCTTTCTCCATCTTTTGTTGGTTCAGAGTTTTTTTCAGTCCAGAGACATACATGCATATTTGTTTTAAGCAGATGAAGATGATATTAGATGAAGTTATGTTTGATGAAACCTTGTGATACTCTTTTGTTGAAACAAATGTATGCTTCACTCCGCTGCAATGTGACATTCTTAAATTCCCCAAAAAGTACAATTACTATTTCAGGCCAAGTTAACATAATCTGTTTAGGTACCATTCAGTTTACATCAGGTCAGAAAAAGTTCTTAAATAGTACTTACTTTATTTTCTTTGGTTCTGATGGAAGACCATGTTAGGTTGGATATCACCAGCCTTATTCTTAATAGACACATCAACTGGAAATCAATTAAAGAAACACATTACATTTAGCCATATCCTCACCTTGTATCTTTCCTCTTGTGTCTTTAGACTCGGCCCCCGAGCTTCAAGGGACGGGGGCGGGGCCAAAGAAGATGGGCGTGACCTCAGCGGTGTCTGACGAGTCGGTGGCAGGAGACAGCGGCGTGTACGAGCCCTCGGAGCGCAGGTACGAAGAGCTGTTACTTACAGCTTATGTTGTGAGATAAACACCCTGGATGGTGTCCTTTCATCTGATGTTTTACATATAAAAAATGTATCTTGAATTCTTTGCATTTGTATTTCTTTTTCTTATCTTTATATTTCAACATGAGTCTTTAAGCACAATCTGGGCATGTAGGGTAGCGCTGTGCGTTTTTTTAATATTTTTGAACAAATACCTAGATATTGATATTGCACTGATATGTAGGGTGCTTTTACAAGATATTTACAAAATGAGATTGTTGATGAATAAACATCAATGTTGTGGATATAATGATTATGTGGGTAGAGGCAAATTATAGAACAGTGGCAAGTTAAAGGCCTTTTTTTTTATTACTTAGCCTTCAAATACCAGGAAAAGACGATCCAACACGATGTCAACCTCATATCCTTACTGTATATGAATATAATAAAGAAACATTGCCCAGCTCTAATACACCATATATTTCCTTAAATATGTGTTACATTTCAACTATTTGTTCACATTTTCAGTGTTAAGAATACTTCTGAATAGAGAACTTGTAACACCATACCTTTACCCTGACGTTACATTCTCAGTTGCCATGATATTTCATCAGCAGTGTGTGTGTGTGTGTGTGTGTGTTCCCTGCAGGCCGGGCCTCCCTGCTGACGTGCTACTCGGCTCTTACGACGAGCGGCTGGCCCTCGGCTGCTCTCAGGTGCAGCTGGGCTTCCGCTACGAGTCCAGAGACCAACGCTTCACCATCTACGTCATGCAGCTCTCCAACTGCAGCGCCCTCTGTCTGCCCGCCGACCAGAAAATGTACGTCCTTTTACCGCTAGATTACATTACATTTCGTTTATCTGAGGCTTTTATCCAAAGCGACTTACAATAAGGACAATAAGGATGCAAGCTCAGTTGAACAGAAGGAAAAATGCAGGTACATTCAGATAAGACAAACCATTGGGAATGTTGGTACAGTGCTTATTGATACAAGCTTTCTGTTTGTTCTTCTAACTGTTGGCTTTTGTTCCTTTAAACCTAAATGACTCACTAAGCAGCTCATTTGATACTTTCATCTTCCCTTTACATTGCATATTTGCACTTTTCTACATATAAAATAAATGGTTCTTGAATATGTTTGTACATCATCCATCAAATGAGCTGCTTAGTGAGTCATTTAGGTTTAAATGTACAGACATAAAGGAACTAAAGCCACCAGTTAGAAGAACAAACAGAAAGCTTGTATCAATAAGCATTTTGTACATTCAGATAAAGACACAGTTATGCATGAGTGGGTTAAACAGGCACGGGTGAAGAGTTTAAAGTGTACTTGGTGTTTAGTTTCTAAACTGGGGGCGTGTCCTGTTTGTTGTCTGCAGCCCGGTTGGTTTGCCGGCTCCACTGACTCTATATGCTCATGCAGATGTGTGTCTGTGGGCCGTCTGGTTATGTTTACACTGGAAAAGTGGTGCCTGTGCAACCAATTAACGCACGTCAACACATTCAAATATGTTAACACATTGTTTCTGCAGATATGTGCGTGCGGTGGTGCTGCCGTGCATGGAGGCGTCCCGCTGCCTCTTCAGGACGCGCGGCTCTCTGCCTCAGGACGTGGTGGAAGTCAACGAGGTGTTCGGCATGCAGATATCCCACAGTGCTTTGCGGCAGAAGACACTGAGGGTCGACATCTGCAACACCAGCAAGTCGGGCCATGAAGAGTGTCTGGTCAGTAGGAGGTTTTGAATCTGGAACGTAGAGTAGTCATTTGATTCAAGGTTTAATCATTAGCTGTTAAAGCTTCAAATACAATTGTAAAGGTTATATTATGAATCTATTTCCCATTCAAAAGGAACTTGAGAGACGATGGCTACTTAGTGTCACATGTTCACATGCTGTTGTAAGGGAACTCAGTTTAATATCATTATAGCATCAGACATGTAATTGCCTGTCAGCTGGTGACTTGTAAGTGTTCAGGAAAAACATTACAAAAAGGATGACATTTATAATGACACTGAATAAAATAAAACAACTAAAAAGAAAGTAGCACAATTGATTAACTGAATATTAAACGCTTAAAAAAATGTAACAAATTAAACTTTAAAAAGTTTACTTTTTTTTAAACAACAAAGGAATCAAAGAAAATGTTGGATAGGAAGACTTTCAAAGTACCTTACACAAAACTTATGTGGCATGTTGAAATTCATTTCATTGTTTATGGTAAACTCAAAAGGAAGCAAACCAAAAGTGCAGAATTCTCTGAGCAGACACGCTGCGTTGTTCCAGATGTTTCTGAAACTTTAACACCCCTTCCATCTTTCCTCCCCCCCCTGCAGGCGGGAGCCCAGATCAGCCTCGCTGATGTCAGCTGTTCGGAGGAGAAATGCACCAAGTGGTACAACCTGCTGAGTCGCGCCTACATGCCTGAGATCAGCAGCAAGGACAAAGAGAGCCGAGCGGCCGGCAGCACTGACAGGGTGAGGAGGCCGGGGTTAAATAGTTTAGTCAGGTAGAACATCTTAAGGTATTAAACACGCCCCCCTAGTATATTCTGTCTTAAATGGTCAGTATGTTAACATTTTTGTAATGAAGTAATATATATAAGAGTAAACTAAATAATCCAAATTGGTAATAAGACAACAAAACAGGTTTCAGAATCAGAATCCTTTGAGGAGGCTTTACAGTGGAATCCAGGAGGCAAAGCTACCATTTAATGCGGTTCAGTAATTATTACAAAAATGGTTTAAAAAAGTATACAGTGAATTTGCTGCTGTCTAGATTAGTGCAGCCAGTGTTTCCTATTTATCAAACCAGAGTAAAGTAAAAAAATTGTTTTATAACTCAATAACTTTTCTGTTTGTGCAAATATTTTCTCTAATGTGTAGTTAATATCTAATTGAATGATGAGTTTTTCCTCTGTGCTGTTGCACCTCTGTTAATGGTTTTAGAAAAATTGTTTGCATTAAATAGGAAGTGTCTTTAACGGCGCCATAGAATACTGTCTGAAATGGTCGGTATGACTACATTTTTGGGATGTATGAAGACATTCCCCAGATTGAACAGTGTCAGTTTTAAAAAGAATGTAAACATAAAACAAGGGAATCCAAATGGGTACCAAGACAAACATTTACTTATTTGACATTAAGTGGAATATTGTCGCAGAGTGGGGAAACTAACATTGTTACAGCAAAAGGGACAGTTCAGAAAAAAGACAAATAAAACGGGTACACCAACAAAATAAAATGTAAATCAAGAAAGAACATCCAAGGTTTAAAAGTAAGTAGTATCATTATAAGAGTTAATGAACAGCTTATAATACAGTCACATAACAACACTTTTAAATGTGGTAATTTATAGTTGTTTGGTCCTAATGTGTGTGTGTGTGTGTGTTTGTGTTTCAGCCTCGTGTTTCCAACAGTGACAGAGTGGGAGCTCCTGAGGACGATGAATGGTGAGTGTTTCTCCTTCCGTCATCAGTTTTCCTATTTATTCCCTCTTTCACTCCTACTTTTGAGCATCAATCGTCCTTTTCCTTATTTTCTTTCCCCTTTTTTATCTTTGCAAGCTTTTAGCAACATTTATCAAATTTTAAGCATCAATTTCTGGATCTTAATTATACAATCTCTGTTAGCGCACCATTTAACTGCATCATAAATGTAGCTAGACATAGCTTCCTTCATACATCAGACAGTTTGGAACATGACTCTAGTGACGCTGGTTTATTACTGATCGATCAACATCATTTACATTTCTTACAGTGTATGCAAATATTTGTAGTGTTTGCAAACCTTATGTTCTTACACTTACGTCAAAAATAGACCAGCCGCGTATTTTTAGCGGAGCCCAGCGCCGAGACGCTTCTGGGACGCTTCTGAGCCGTAACGCGGCGCGTCTGGTGGAATAGCACCCATTGACTAGAGTGGCCGCGATCGCGGTGAACGCTGCGGCGCGGCCGTAACGCGGCGCAGACGGACCCGGTGGAATCAAGGGGTTAGAGATTATCTGTACCGCTTCACAGGCAGCCGACAGTTCACAATTGTTTTCATTGCAGACACACACGCACAAACACACACACACACACACACACGCACACGCACACACACACACGCACACACACACACACGCACACGCACACTGACAGAATGTTACTCGGCAGCTTCACACTGCACATAAAGCAGCTTGAATGTTGGGTACCACTTTACAATAAGACTACCCTTATAAAGGATTCATAAAGGGTTTATAATTAGGTTATGAATTAGGTTATTAATTAGGTTGTAAACACTTTATTAATCATTAAGAACCATTTATAAACCAGTTCTAACGTAGTTTTCATACATCAACACAGGCTCACTATTTGGCAAGATGACTAAGCCTTATATTGGCTACCTAGCTTACTTCGTCTTCTTCATCAGCCAGCATCCTTGGTATCTGTTGCTCACTGAGTTGATTCCCCCCCCTTCCATCTTGATGTTTCTTTGCATCTCTTATGACCATTTATTTACGAGTTACTAACATTTATAGTTGCCAAAAGGGAGCCTTATTGTAAAGTGTGAAACAAATCACCATTTATTAATGAGTTACTACCTTTTCTAATAAGGCTTAGCAGTACAGATAAATGTGGGCTCACTATTTGGCAAGCAACCGGTCACAGCTGCCCTGTTTATCTCATGTCTTATAAAAGATTATTAATGATTTATAAAGTGTTCACAACCTAATTAATAAATGAATTACAAACTATTCGTAAACCCTTTATAAGGGTAGTCTTATTGTAAAGTGGTACCGAATTTTGGATACACCTCCCCCTCTTTTGAATGACACCGCCACCTTTCCTCCTCCCTCTGTCCAACGACAATCACCAGGTGTCCCCATGTCAACACACACACACACTCTCTCACACACTCACACACTCACACACATACACCTGTCTCCTTTCCCAGGAAGGAAGGAATTAGACCACCTAGTAATCTTCCTTTCACATGCAAATGTTCTCTTCCTTCACTGTATATAGTTATCAAAGTATATACTGTAGAATATAATGTAATATAATATGTTTAAGTTTTCTTTGTTCACTTTATATAATTCACCTCTGTTTTTATATGTTAAGCGCTCATGGGAACACAAATATAACAACACATATCTAATAAAAGATGGTAAATAAAAGAGAAAAACTGTAAAACATCCTGCAACAGTTTTAGGGCTGAGTACAGTGAGGAATATTTTGGATATGATGGAAAACAACAAGGAGTTTTGAAGTGATACCAGAGCACTACTAATCTGAGCAGTATTTATCCCTACAAACGAGAGTATGTGTTTGTTGTTGTCAGGCATGGTGACCCCCTGGACATCTTTGACGATGAAGAAAGAAATGGCGTGGAGGGGGTGGGGCCTGAAGAGGAAGAGTTTTATCCTGAGAGCAGCCAATGGGAAGCAGAGGAAGAGGAAGTGGAGGTGAAGGAGCTCAAACCTCCTCCTTATCGTGCACCAGTCATCACAGAAAAGGTAACTTAGAAAAAGTTGATGTTTACTTGTTGTGTTGAAGAAGAAGATGAACCTTTATTTGATCCTCCAAGGGAAAATGTTGTAACACACAGTACAATACACACACAGGAATAGTACTAGATCTGAACACACATACAGAGATACATGTATTTGGATTGTGGTAGATATTTCTTTCATTCTTGGATTACTAGGAAAGCACAAGTAGTATATCTTTGAACAGAAAAGACCTTTCAATCAAGTCAATCGGGTAGAGTCAAAAGGCCATTTCCCACTGTTATTTAACAACCATACAGAGAAAATGCATCAAAAAAAGAGGCTAAGAGGAAAAATAAATGTCTCCCAAGAAATACAATGAAATGCTCTTCTCATTGTCACGTTGAACTTCCTTTTTCTCTGACTTTCTTCTTCTGACATCCTATTACATTAGGCCCTTCCTGTTTGTGTCCTGGGTGGAGCTGTTTAAAACATGTCAAAAATACTTTTAGTTTTTGAACTTCGGGTGCAATAAATTGTCTAGTATAATAAGTACTTTATTCAGTATTGGACAGTTTATATTGATATAATCTTGTATTCTTTGTCTAGGTGAACAAAGAGACGAGCATGGACAACTTGTCCCACCACAGCTCGGTGGTCCGACCTAAGGAGCGCCGTCCAGACGTCCACCAGCAGAACCCCTTCATGAGGGGCAACACCATCATCCGCTCCAAGACCTTCTCCCCCGGACCCCAGAGCCAGTACATCTGCAGGGTAACTGAGGCCACTGAAGACCTACAGTACAATAAAACAACAGGACATCAGACGGAGAGAAAAAAACACCTGTTAACTCCCTGTCGTGAATGAACATCTCCCTCTGCTGTTTTCTAGATAAATCGCAGTGACAGCGACAGCTCCACCCTCTCCAAGAAGTCTCCGTTTGTCAGGAACGCCTCGGAGAGAAGAAGCATGCGCATGAAGAAGGTAAAACAACAATTGATATGATAATACTTGAATGTCAGATATCACAGCAGCTCCATTTGCAACATCAACAAGGGAAAATACAAAGACACATTATAAGAAAACAGACATTTAACCTTACATCACAATCACTGAAGACAACATGTCCAAGACCCTCTGACGTACATTTGACCTGGGATTAAACTCTGTATTTAATTTCAGGATTAACTGGGGCACAAAAGAGTGCTTCAGTCTAATTGTATTTCATCTTTGGACCCTGTGTCTCCCAACAATTAATATTCACTGTTCAGAACATGGTTGAGGTCAGAGCTGATGTTGTTATGGTAGGCTGACTCATAGTCTGTCACAAATCTTTGAGTCGATTTTTAACCAGTGGAGCAGTTTTGACTGTTAGCCGGTGGAGAAATGTTTTACAATGTAGTATTGCAGAACTGTCAATATTACAGATATAAAAAAACAAACAAAAAATGTGTCTACTCTCCTCGAAAGACCTTGGGCGGTCATCCTCACTCCTGTCTCCTCGTCGCTCGATCTCAAAAGCAAAAACGTTTTAGCGCAGTTCTATGTGTCAGACTCCCCAAAGTTTTAGTTTTCTGTGATGGTAACTGTGTCATGAGGTAATGACAGTGTTATTGATTTTTGCCATGACATGACAGACTCCCCCCCCCCCCCCCCAGAGGTTCAGAGGAGTTAACATTGAAGTCCAGTCACTTATACCTCAGTACGCCTCACTGCAGCCTCACAGATCTAACCACCTGCAAGTTTACCGAGCATGAACGGTCACTCCTTCCTCCAGAGAGGGAGACGGGGAAGCCTATTTGAATTTTCTGAGCCCTAGAGCCGCCTGACAACTCTCCGTCAAGTGACTCTTAATATTTAATAACCGTCTGAATGTTTAATGCAGCTCTGACATTTGCCAGCTCATATTAATTTAGCAGCAGCGGAACATCTCCGTGGTGGAAATCCACATCACACATCGCATGCTGGTGACAGTGTTTGCAAATAAATAAAACACTTGCTGTGTACACCCAGGTGACGGTTAAGACTTTTGCAGACATACATATCAAATAAATTAATAAATACATCTCTGTCCTCAACTGTTAATTTAGAGCTTTTTTCCTTTTATTTTCCATTTGTTAAAACATAACATTTCAATCATCACATCAAGACAGTGATGAGTAAGAAAGTAATGATATTAGAAAAGAAAAAACTGTTTTGTGTTCAATTAAATTCAAATAGCTTTATTGGCATGACCATAATGACATACAGTTTTGCCACAGTGAGCTTTGCACAATTATGAAATCTTTTCATAAAAATGTTGAACCAAAGCAAGAATAACACATTTTCTTTACAAGGAAAACATACTTTTTGAACAGGAACTAGAAAATGTATTTAAAACAAACTTTAAAAACGATAGAAAAAGTTAAGATGAGTTATCGATTATTGTGCAGGATAATGCTGATAATAAATTCATATAATGCATTTATGTTCTTTCACAGACTGAGTCAGGGATTACAAAAATGGTGACTTGTTTGTGGTGCCAGTATTTGCAAATAAATTCAAATTGTGACTGCTTTTTTCTTTTCTTTTCTTTTTTCTTTGCAGTGCGTGATGAGTTATAAATACATTATATTAAAAAAGGAGAGTGTTTAGTGTTCTCTCATAGGCTGAGGAGTCGGGGATTTTCAGTTATTTTGCATTAATGGCCTTTATTAACGCCCATAGGGAGGGCCATGTACCCAATACCTGAACTAATCGTTTCTAGCAGCCGTAGTGTTTGTGTCTTGAGCCTCTGCATCTCTTACCTGTGCCCCCCCCCCCTGTCCCCCCTCAGCCCCCGGTGCCGGTGAAGGGTCTGGACGGTCTGCTGAGGACGTCCCTGGACCTGGAGCTGGACCTGCAGGTGTCGCGGACACGGCAGACGCGGCTGGCTCAGGAGCTGCGGGTGCTGCGGGAGCTGAAGACCCAGCTGGAGACGGCCAGGCAGCGCGGCCAGAGGGAGCTGCCCGCCTGGGTGCAGGAGGACGAGCGCTTCCGCATCCTCCTGAGGCAGGCCGAGAAGCAGGTGAGGGGACGGGGGGGATTAATGTCTGTGTGCCCATGTGCTATGGGCAGAGGTGGGAAGTAGTGGAGTACAAATACTTCGTTACTGTACTTAAGTACAGTTTTCTGGTATCAGTACTTTACTCCACTACTTATTTTTCTGACGACTTTTTACTTTCTACTTTCTACTTCTTCAATTTTGAACACAAATACCTGTACTTTTAATTCTTACATTTTCCAAACAGGCTGGTTCCTTTAGTTTTAATCTGTGTTTGGCGGCGTGATCATTATTATTTACAGTCATTGTGTGCCTATTGATTTGAACACGATCTGTGTATCCATCATTTCCTGGTCTTCTCTAAAGAAGAGGGACCAATGAGAACTCGGCTCGATTATTGTTCTATTAATATAAAGTGAGGTCAAGTTACCAGTTACTCTATAAACAGTTGGTACTGTAGTTATGGGTACTTTTTACTTGAGTACATTTCGAAGCCCATACTTCTTTACTTTTACTTGAGTAAAGAAGTTTAGTTAGTTCTTCTACTTTTACCAGAGTATTATTAAACACCAGTATCTGTACTTCTACTTGAGTAAAGGATGTGTGTACTTTTGCCATCTCTGGCTATGGGCCTAACGTACGATATATGGACACATCCTTGATAACTGTTACGTTAACAACATATCGTGAAATATACAGACATAAACTCGGTTTGTTTGTTACCGCCTACAATTCAAAACATCATGTAAAAAATATTTAGGTTACCTATTTATTAAATATTCAAATGAAACTACATAATTAATTGATGGTACGACAAGTAGACACAAACTTGTTGTTTTTTATCTTGTGTGTGTATCATGTGCTGTGTCTTGTGTTAGTATTATATGGACACAGCCTCAAAAATGTTAGGTTTTTAACTTAACACACAATATACACATACATGTACATATACATGACCTGATGTATTTTGAGGTTATTGATATATCATATTACAAACTGACATTTCTAACTATTCACTATTTGATCATTATATCAGTTGCATACAATGTTCTTAAAATTCAAAACATTTAAAGTGGACCTATCATGCTATATTTGAATAATATAGTGTAGGACCATACCTATATAAGGCATATTTATACTTTTTGTTTTTCAAAATACCAAACAGATCATGCATTTTAGCCATGCCTCATTTTGCTCAATTTGACATTTTTTAGCTCTGTGTTTATAAGGGCTGATTCTGTGAGAACAGCACCATCTACAGGCCTGGCATATGTACTACAGCGTCTCCAGCGCTTTCGAACGGCAATGGCCGTGGCTGTCTCCTCCTGATTGGTGGAGTTGGCCCAATAGCCGTAGCGCCACCGTCCTGACGTCAGGACAGTGTTCAAATCTGGATCAGTTTTTATCAGATCCGTTGCAGCCCCTTTTTTAGAGATTTGGGTGTGGAGGAAAATAGAGAGGGTTGTGTTTTCTGACACTTGGTGAGTTCCCTGGAACACCGGGGACACATATTCATGTATAAAAGACGTATAAAAGTGCATTTTGGATGATAGGTCCCCTTTAAATATCCATGGTTATAATGACAGACATTTTTGCTGATGCTCTAGTTTTCTTATCACACGCTTTAGTTCAGTTAGTTCACTATTAGACGCTTTTCTCTGTAAATAACAAAGAGCAGATTTCAGTATGGTCCTGTGCTCTTGCTCCTGTTCAGACTTGTGAGGAGCAGCTACACGAGAAGCGGGTGGAGAAGATGATGAGAGCGGCAGCCAAGGACGTCCACAAGATCAGAGGCCAGAGCCGGAAGGAGGTCCCCGAGGTGCAGACCTTCAGGTGGGACACGCAACCGGACAGATTCCTGAAATATGAGACTCTCCATAAGAGCACAGACAGAAGAGACACATATGTGATTAGATCTCCTCAGCAGACAGAATGTGTTAAAAACTGCTCAATAAGAAAAATGGGCCCCTTAAGAAAGCACTTTTAGAAGCTGTATGTCAGACAGGAGGAGGCAGAGGAAGGAGTTTGATGTATACTGTGAGAATATGTTCTGCACAGAGATGTTCATAGGCTGGGACAAATATGTTTATTGTGTCTCCTGATGCACAACCAGATTACTTTAGTCATACTCTCTAGGTGTCCTGATTTTTGGCGGTTCAACCTTTTTTGTGGTGGTGGCTGTTTTAATATGTGACTGCCGACTAACATGTTGTGAAAAAGCTAAGTTTGCTTGGTAATGCTTAATTTTATTCTTATTTGAAAAGTATTTACTGATTTTAGCAATATTATTTCTGCATTTAAGAGGCCTTTTTGTATTCCCTATTTACCCTGTATCATGATATAATGTAGATGATTATTATAACAGCATTGCATTCTAACTTTATCTAATTTATATCGAAGATCTCTATGGTGGGCTACATTGTATAATTTATTGAGGAATCCTATCAAACACATTTTTATTTCACATTTTAGATAGATTGTGATTGTGTTCCCCAAGCTACTTGAAACAAGATCATAAACTATCTAGGAGCTCAGAATAACTAGATTTCATTTTTTTATTCAGCTTTAAAATGAGATAAGTATACAAATATAAAACACATATCTTTCAATCCTCAATTATGAAACAAGACAGTCAGACATGCAATGATGTCATATATTCAGAGTAGACAGAAACAGTATAATTACAACATAGTGAATAGACTGACAGTAGCTGAACAAAGAACGAATGATAGTATTTGAATGAAACTGCTTTACAGAGCTTTGTTAGAGCCACTTTAAAACTAAATCTCCATGTTAGCTGTGTCCTTGTGTTGACCTCTAACTGTCTCCTGTGTGTTTCAGAGAGAAGATGGCGTTCTTCACTCGAGCGAAGAGCAACATCCCCGACCTGCCGGCTGACGACGTGTAGAGAAGCATTTCAAAGTATTTCCTCCTCGAGTCTTAACCTGCTGTTCCCATTCAAATGAAGCAAATGTTTGGCGGTGTTATGAAGAATTTAAACAAACAATATTAATAATGTGTTTAGTAGAGAAAACACTCAAAACCGTGAAGAAACACATTTTTAAAGAGCTCAGCATTTCTCATGTGGATAGTCTATGTTTGTAAATTAGTGAAAGCACACTAGAGCTTTTCTTTTTTTAATTATTATGTCACTCTCTTTGTTTTGTGTTTTTGTTACTAACAGGCTGTTTATAGGTGTGTAAAATCATTCCAGCACAACGTCACAAAGCTGCAAACACAGAGTTTTGTACTGAAATGACACATTTAGACACGTAAATATATAAATGTATATTGACAGCACAAAACAATGGTACTAAAGCAAAATGAGCAACTCAAGCTGATGATAAATAACAGAAATGAATATCTTCATTTAAGAGATATTTAACATTGATTTTCAAGCAATGTGTTTTTTTTTTTTTTTAAACTATAGACAGCACAGATGTTTGTATATAATCCTCATCAGCATGCATCATTTACAACACACACAACAACACGAGAGGAAAACTGGAGCGAGTCTTTGATTTACAAACGTTACCAAATGAACTGGATTTGATCATTTAGGAGGCGACATTCTTCTCATTTTAGGTCGAAAGTTAAACGATTGTCTCTCACCAGTTACACTCAGCAAAGTGTAGAAACAGCACTAACTCTCACTAGCACTCAGGTAGTTGATCGGATAGTCCGCACTTTAAGAAACTTCAGATAAAAGGAAAAAAAGAAAGGAAAAAAAAGTGGGTTTTTGGAAAAATCTATAAAATCCAAAAACCTTTGCCTCGAATGCGCTGGAATGATTGTTAAATGTTGAAGCACACAAAGATTGTCAGACAGGAAGATCAGATCAGATGTATTTTTGAAGACTGTGAACTAAAAGAGTTTTAATTTCAGACTTCCCTTCCCTCTAACTGGATGTTTTGGATACGCTCTGTATCTAAAGTCGCTCTCATGCCTCTTACAACTGGATGTTCTGCAGCTGATATGTCAAATGTAAGCATGGTGCCCCAGCAAAACTGAACACATCAATTCCATCCTTGTATCTTGAAACTAGCTATGGTTTAAAAGACTATGTATTGTTATGCTGCCCCCAAGAGGCCAACAAAAATGCAGGTTTTTAATTCCTACTTCCTGTTTCCTGCTCTTCAACTGATCCAAAATAATTGTCAGAAGATAAAATAGCATGTTTAATTGCAGGAGGTTTGCCTAAATCAAACCACCCTTGTGAGGAATGTCGAAATACAGGTTTTAAGGTTTTCTTAAGTTTTTCGATTTACATTAAGTTGTGTTAAATTCACCACAAAAAAAAATAGTCTTATTTATCAATAAACAGGTTCATGTTCAAGTAACCTTTGTTAGCACTGCTAGTATTGCTGCTTTCCTGTGGGTGCAAAATGTAAAAAGAATATTCTGAAACAATTGGATTTAGAGTTAAATATAAATAGATAATGGGTTAAAGTGTCACTTCAGGTATTAAAACTGTCTCAAATATATCAAATGTCCTAATTATAGAAGATAATGACATGCTAATTTGGACACGGGTCTAATTTGTAGTTCCAACTTCATCTGTTCATCATGCTGTTATATTTTCGCACTTGCATAGCAACATGTCTTGGCTATCAGAGGAGACGGATATTTCCCTCTATGCTTTGAGAAGCCGGTCAAAAGGTCTTTTATCGGTACGTGCAGAGCGGCTCTTAATCTTCACCTCTGGCATGAAGTCAGTTCACTGTTTGTGCTCTGGCGATGTGATTTCTATTCAGCTCAGTGAGGACTTACGATGTCTAACTCTGTTTCCAAGGCAACCGGATTATAAATCAGCAGCGGACCTCGACTATTGTTTGGTGGCTCTTTGTGTTTGTACCTGAACGTTGAGCAGCTGTTGGCGCTTTATTCAACATTTCAACGGTGCTAAAACAAAACTCCTATGGTGATAAATCACGTTTTGTTTTTTTTACATATTTTAATATTTGAAATCTTTGCTCATTTAGAAGACATGACTCTGATGTATTTTAAGCAGATTTGATATAGATAATGAAGAAACCCCACTCCAAAATTAGTAGAATGCACCCACTGGCACTAAATAATTTAACATTTTGAATATGATGGATTGAAAAACAAAGTCAGTTCAGTTTTAATTTTGTAGCACTAAATCATATTGGCACTCAAACTACAAAACAGTTGATGGAGGACCAAAAAAAAAGACAAAATATCAAAGAAAGTCGGACAACATTGTCGAGCAGCAAATCGGATCAGGAAAAATAAATAAAGAGTGACAAAAACAAGGATTTTTACTTGTATAAAAGTGGCAAAATCATGTGTTTTTTTACACACTCTTGGGGTTATATCATTGACAGGACTTCAGTCTTAAAGTGGACCTGAAGTTTCTTAACCTGTGACTTTTGGAAAAAATGACTCGCAGACTTTCAGCGCTGTTATGCTCAGTGTTTCTCTCCTTGCTGGGTCACCATGCTCTTCATGTGTTGGTACATTAGGTGCTTTGTATAAGTATCCACCACATGGCGCAATCCTTCATGTTTTCATGTCTCAATTCTCGGTGTAAACAGGAATGTCGCTGATGAAAACCTCTGCCGCTGTCATTCCAGATGTTCCTCTGTTTCACTGTGGTAAACAGCAGCTCATAACATGCTTGAATAATAGATCAGATCCAGCAAAGAGTCAACCTTAAACCTTTATCTCTTGGTTTATGTGTATGTTTAACACCAACAGAGGGAGTTGATTTTTCTTGTTGGCTCTCCAATCCTTAAGGTTATCTCCCAAAAGTCCCAACAATTTAAATCAGCCTCGTTTCTGATATTTTTAATCCACAAGAAAAAGAACATAGGCTCAACACATATCCAGTTACTAGTAGGAATATTCACCACACATTCAGGTAAAAGTAGGAATATTTTTGCACAAGTGTTAATAAGAACAATACATATCACACAAATAGATAACCACAGATCTTCTCACCCCGTCTAGAAAAAGACACACAAAAAACTTGATAGGAAGTGAATGAAATGCTGTGAGGACGTTCACACTGAGGCTGCGTTCACACTGCAGAGAGGAAGCGTTTTATACTTCAGTCTGAACCGTCCTGTTTCTGAACTAAACATTGAACAACATATTTATACCAAAGATTTAACCCCTGATGCACAAACACATACATAAAGGAATCTGATGTTCTTGTGGCTCAGTGATCCAAATAATACTTTACCTTTTAGATGTGTAAAGTTTATCATCTGCACATATATGCAATGGTACACACCGTGTCAACTGTGTGCACCATTGGGATCCAACATAATAATAATAATACATTTGATTTATATAGCGCTTTCCCTGGTGCCATGAAGTCTATATTTTCATTTACGATGTATAAATAATACTTTTATAGAGAATTCAAATATACATTTTAAGCAACAAGGTCATACTTAGTGATAGTCCCCCACTTTGTAAATGGAAAAGGGTCAAAGAATTGTAAACACATTTTATAATCCATAACAAAAGCACCTTCAATAATGACCTCCATAGTCACCATATGTAATTGAATATATACATTTTCCAACAGTGGCATGAAACTTTGGAACCACTAAAAATAATACACTTTTTTGGATTGAAGCTTCTTTGTCCTAGCTGTCTCTAGGTTTCTTAACCACAGTTAGGTCAGTTTGAGTTTCTTCTTCTGAGAAACATTTTTAGATAATAATGCATCCTGAATGTGTGAAGCAAAATCCTTTTTCTTTTAGCTGTTGACATGATAGCATCTTGACTCATCCCACATGTATTTCTCCCCTCAAATTAACGACATCTGATACCCTATAATGCACCACTTTCTCTTTGCTGAATCGCTCTACTGTCAAGACTTAGGGGAGCAACAAAAAAGTTGTTTGAATGCCGATCAGACTGTTCAGACTGAAATCATAAAAAGATATGTATTAAATCGAGGAGTAACGATGAAAAACCTCACAATTGTCGTGTTTACTTTTTGTGGGAAAGAGTCACATGACAGATCTGGTTTCCTCGCGCAGTGTGAACGCAGCTCTGAACTCCTGACGGTCTGAGGGTTTTACTGTAACGGGATCACTGTGAAATTAATGAAAGCCTTTGGAGTTATGTGAGAGAGTGTGCCTTTCGGAGAGCAACCATTTTTTTTTTTTTTTGTCTTATATGTCCAAACCTGGTTGCCATGGTGTGATCTGAAGCTGTCAATGTAGAGAAGGGTTTGCATTAATGTTCCTAATGTTAACAGTTTTTTTGTTTTCATCCACTGTAGAGCAGGTAGTTTGAAAGAATAGGACTCTGAGGAACAGTACTGTCTGTCTGTAAGAACTTTGTCATGATCGATTGAATGTTGTTTAACCGCTAAATCAAAAACATTTATATATAACAACATCTGGATGAAGGAATGTAGGTTCTTTGCTACGAGAAATCACAATCATTCAGAGAAAAAAACATGCTGGTAGTCACACGTAATTATTATTTTTCATCATGTAGATTGTGATATAATTCTTGTTTGTTTTTTGAAGTTCAAGTGCATTTGTTTTCCTTTTATTTGATTATTGTTTTTTTCCCCTAATGAATCTGTTTGTATTACGACTGGTGATGAATCTGGTAATGTGTATGGAGGCGGCTATGAGAAACACACAGCATGTATTTATTGCACTTTGTGATTTGGGTGTGCTTTTCCTGTTTTTCTTTTTATCGCGAGAGTCCCGAAAAGCTGTGAATTTTATTCTCAGACACTGTACTATCGACCAGAGTTGTAAATATTTCACCAGCACAAAAAATACCAAACAATATGTTTTGTAGTTTCACAACAAATAAAAAAGTTCTTCTCTTCTAATTCATTGTGTTACTAATGTGTTTCTCAAAACAAAATGTACTTGAAGTATGGAAAGTAAATGTAATCATGGCGCATTTCAATGTTCTCTTTCAGTGTATTACTATTATATATTAAGTTTTTGTATTATATATATTTTGTGCTAATTTGGACTTCTTTATATACGGATGGGGAGTTTAATCTACAGCAATGCCTCATATTCTATAAAATCAGCATATTTGTTTTATCTCTAAAAGGTATATTTTTCAAGAGTTTCTCAAAATATCATAACCTAGCCATGAAAAGTTAGAAAATGTACTCAACAGCTTCAGGAATAATTTGTCATTTTGTTTATCAGGTAAATTCCTATTCAACCCATTTGTCTATACATGATTTTCACTGGAAAGAAAGGGAACAAGTGTGTTCTGAAAAGTAGCTAAATCTATCTGATAAATCGGAAGTGAAACAGGTTTATTGCCAAGTAGGTTTACACATACGAATAATTTCCTTTGGTGTACATGGTGCATACATGAACACAGCTAAAGAAGATAACATAGCACCATAAAAAAATAAAAAACTTTAAAAACACGATTATACATTAAGATATAGACAATTATTTACATGAAATCTGGATATGCTAAAAAACGACGTACAGTATTGGAAAGTGCTCAAAATAATAAAATATATGAGGAAAGCTGTGTAGATACTAAAATCAGGTACTTTAACTTTCAATTGTGTTTTTATTACAGTTTTTTTAGTAAATATAGTTACATTCTACCACTGAGCAGTAGTTATTGTTCATTAAACTGATAGTGCTGTATATACAGGTTACAGAAGGGGGCGCTGTCCTCCTTATACCATGGTATGCGACCCGCTAGTAAAACCGAAGACGAAGACATACCGGAAGTACGCTTGTCAACTTCTTCCTTCTCTAGCAGTTGTTTCATCAGCCACGAGTGTCTATCCAGCCGACAGGAGAGTTTCTCTGAAGTGTTTCAGAAAGATGGGAGACTCTGTAAACGAGTACACAACCCGACTGCAACAGCAGGTAAGAGACGTTACCTGTAAATGTAAAAAATATCAGTGTTTTACCATTATTTATTATGTTTTTGTATTACCCTACTGCTGCATTGAGGTTGCATTTTACTGCTGTAGATGTTTAGGTTTGTGCTAATTTGAACTTCTTTAAATACTGACAGGCATCTACAGTAATGCATCATGTTCTATAAGATCAGCCTATTTGTATCTATAAAAACAATAACAGCCCTGTGATTATCTGTGTGACAATTCATATTCCCTCTAATCAAAGAGGATTTTTATAAAACACATTACATTATTTAGCCTAGAAAAGTTGGAGAATTCTCTTAACATCTTATGGAATAAGGTGTCATTTAGTTTATCAGGTAAATTCACATTCAACACATTTTAACATACATTAGCTAGCCTAGCAGGCTAAATGCCAGGTAGCATCACACCGGCCAAACGTCATTATACACACTTTAGATTTAATGTTGCCTTTCAGAACAAATTACTTCAAAACTTTTCAAAACATAGAATGTCTACAGAGTAAGTTGTCACCACTCTCAAATTCGGCTTACACCAAACACCATGTATTTAAATGTCAGGTAGCTACACCACCAAACGTCAATAAACAAACTTACAATTGAATGTTGTCTAGCAATTTGATAAAAGTAACTAATTTCCTGTGTGAAATAAACAATGTATCCCGGGTAAGTGTTTGCTAATCTCAGATTCGGCTAAGAAACCTTGTACCAAATACCTATTGTTTTGGTACAATTGAAGAAATAGTGTCTCCCTGTCATTTTTTAGGTCAACCCATTTTTCAGTGACACATCAGCAAGTAGCTCAATGACAGTGGTGTAATGTATTGAAGTACCTTAATTTAAGTATTGTACTTAAGTATGTTCTGGGGTACTTAACTTGAGTATTTTTCATTTGACTTACTATACCTCTACTCCACTATATTTTATATGCCAATATTGTACTACATTTATCTGACAGAATTAGTTACTAGTGACTTTAAAGATTCCGATTATACGCTAACTTAAAATATGAATAAGTAGTAGTACATACAGTAATTAAATGAGCCGAAATAATGAGATAATTAATAATTAAATGAGATTGATGAAATGAACCTTTACCATCTGTGATGAACACATTAATGCATCAATAATCATTATCCAGTGATTTCATATATTATTCTGAATTGAGCTCCAACGAACTATAAGTACTTTGATTTTCGTTCCTTCGAGTATATTTTGATGCCGATACTTTTGTACTTTGACTTAAGTAAGATTTGAAATGCATGACTTTGACCTGTAACTGATTTACTGTAGTAGTTCTACCTTTTACTTAAGTACAATATAGCAATGATTGTTGTCACAGTACAATTACAGCTGTTGTAAAAGCAGTGATTCACTTGATGAAGTCTCTGATAGGATAAATTGTTGATCTGATTCAAAAATAGGTTTTTACTTGTTACTCTATTGCAGTCAGCTTGCAAGTAAGAACCTCAGCTGAGTAGATGCTGCTCAGGGAGATCGTAACGTTTTAAGGATTTAGTTCGTTTTACGGAAATGTACATCTGTATGTTTTGTTTTTCAGGAGCAGGAGATCAAGAGTCTATCTGCAGAGGTTGAGGGTCTAAAAAACCCACAGAACCTTAGTCCATCTCCCCGCCTGGAACAGCTGCGGGATGAAAACGCCAAACTGAAGTACCGCCTGAACGTCCTGAAGAGGGTGAGTACACAGAATACACATAAAACAATACTCAACAAATGTTCACACACAAACTGGGACATTTCAGGATTTTATTTGAATTTAACTTATTCAAATATCATAATATTTTTGCTATCTTAGAGCAATATGGATCTCAGTTACACAACGTTCAGAGTCAAGCATGTCAACAAACATTTCCTCCTTTTTAATCACATTACCACGGTGTTCAGAATTGAGATGAAGCTGCTTATCATATCATTAGCAAAAGAAAAACAAATAGATTTTCTTTAAATTTAAGTACTGTCAAAATCCTGCAATGTATTGTGTTGGACTGCAGGGTTTACTGTGCTTTTATGCTCTCCACCTTTGCAGCACGATTGTAAAATTACACTACTAGTGACTGAAATATTCGATTTTTCAATTAAAAATACCTCTGAGGTGGCTGCAGCACAGAACACCAAACGGATGCTGTAGAAAGAGTCAGACAAAAATAACTGTTTTTTTAGTCTTCTCAAGAACCACACATTAAAATACATAAATCTTAAAAAGAGAAGAGATGATTAATGCCAGACTTAGCTATTAGCTTATTTCCATCTGCAGGTAAAATGATTTGTGTCTAATCCTTATATTAATGAGGCCGATGTGCTGTGTGTGCTCAGAGCCTGCAGGAGGAGAGGACGGTTCACTGCGGTAAATCCATGACCAACATCCTCCACCGGCTGGAGGAGATCTTCTGCGAGGCCATCCGTGATGCCTACCCCGAGCTGGAAGACCCCCCCCTGTCCGTGGCCTCCAGCCAGCAGCCCAGGTTTGGAGAGTACCAGTGCAACAGCGCCATGGCCATCGCCCAGGTCTGTGGAGCACAGAAAATGACTCTGTGACGGCATTTTAATTAAAGTTTCTGTGAGCGTACAGATCCAGAAATGTAATTAAAGTTCCTCATTTTAGATTCCCTTAAACACTTTTTGAATTTCCTTGACTGCTCAATTCCTGAGCTTGCACTATTTTTATAGTTATGTCTTAATATATACATTTATGTTGCATGGTTGAAGGACCCTCTGACTTAAGCTTTTCATTTCATATCTACACTGTAGCTATGCATATGACAATAAAGCCTTTGGAACAACAAATAAAGCGTTGGAGAATAAAAGGATAACTTTCAAAGATTGTTGAATTAGGTCTAAGGCTCTTATTCTTTTTATCGACCTATTTTTACGAGATTTAAGTTGTTTAGGAGCCTGATAATAGTTGGAGGCCTTTCATTCATGCTGAACCATTTCTTATTGTTCTGTGGAGAGAAACAAGCTGAATCAGTACAACCACTGCAGGTTTAATCATCTGTGAAAATCCAATACATCTCATTTTGTAATTACACTCAGAAAAAGTTTCTTTCTGTCATGAAAGTTGTGAAATCGGTTGTTTTTGTAAGTTATTTACTTTTAGTTAATTAAACACATTTTAAGCCAAACTGTCTTGTGTGGTGTTCCAGATTCTGAAGGCAAAGGGAGTGAAGACCAACCCCAGGGAAATTGCACAAAAGATCGTCCAGAACCTTTCCGACAACGAAGTCATCCTCAAAACTGAGATCGCCGGACCAGGTACAAAACATCTGACTCTTCTTTCAGAAATATTTTCATTCATTGAAATAGAAACTACAATTAAAACAATATTCGGTCAGTGTAGGCCACAATAAGTTCTATAATCATACGTCAAACAGTTCAGCTCTGAGAAATGTCAATTGTATTTTGCAAATAATGTTGAAAGATTTGTTTTTTTGTGGATTTTCATAATGTTATGATGCATTGAAGATACCATGAATCCACCATCAATATCATTGAATCAGAATTCCTTTATTTGTCCCTCAACTGGGAAAGGTACTTTACCACAGCAGAAGTATAGTTCAGATGAAGTAAAGAGCATAGACTTACATATTTCTAAAATGAACAAGTACACATTATTAATGATAAAAAACACAATAAGTAAAACACTAAAATTAGGTAAGTACACCATGGTAAAACACTTAGTAAAAGATCTATCTATTAAATACATCAAAATCACTCTCATCCTCCCTTCTGATGTCTTTTTTGTGTTCAGGGTTCATCAACGTCTATCTGAAGAGGCCGTTTGTGTCCAAACTGATGAGCAACCTGCTGATCAACGGCGTGCAGCCCCCCCCACTGTCCAAGAAGAGGGTAAGTCACACTCCCTCGTGTTGCGTGAAAACTGCTTCAGATTCATTTATATCAAGAGAATTAAAGTCATGCTCGTAACTAACTATAAATCAC